CATTGGTCGAAAATTTAAAATTAAATGTAGGTACTCTCATTATTATTATAATACACATTTAATTGTGAAAAGGTAGTAAAGTGAAAGACAAGTCCAGTTTGACATTTAGAATATTAGTGAACTAAAACTACTAACTAAAATTAGTAAATTTAACTTCGAATTATAGTTCGTTACAAAATTTAAGTCAAAAAAATTCAAATATATTGTATTTTATAAAGATAATTTAAGATTGATAATAATGTTTTTGTAGAAAATACTTAAATTTTACTGCGCTGACAATATTATTTGATTGCACTAAGAATGGGTGCGTAGCGGTTTCTATGTTGATTATCGCATGCCTCTTACTTGTTACTGTATGTTTATTTATTTAAAATAATATTTATCTCAAAGAGCAACACACAAGTTTCTTGGCCGTTTGTCTTATGATGAGTCTGCATTTCCAATGAGTGGTAGAATAAAAAATATGACTTTTCAGAAGTGCTTGAAGAATAGAAATATTCTTTATTCAAATTAACTCCATTTAGTTGAATAATTATTATTTCTATTTCTTATTCAACTGCTATACTTTTCACGATGTTATTAGGAAAATGTGTAGGTACTACTATATGTAGTAGATACTATGCATGTTAACGCAAAGTAGTATTGGGAAACAACAATTGATAATGACTCATGATTTTTGATCATTTTATCATCATAACTCTTAGTAATTGCTATGGAAGACATTTTTGTGACCATTCTGATGCTGTTGGCCCCAAAGATCTTTTTTTATCTAATGTTACTTGCTACAGCTGACCTTTATAACTTCACCGAACGACAGGGAGCGAGTGCAGATGGCACTTCATATCCGTGGAAAGACTTATAGATCGGCTGAGGGCCAGCTCGTGCCTGACGCATACGACTTTAGTCTGAGAACATCGCTAGGGGTTCGAACCTCAGCTCAAACGTAATTTTGATCCCCCTTTGAATTTGACAGCGGTTAGATCCATGAATAAGGATAATAATAGTGTTTAAAAATGATGATATCAGGCTGTTTTTGGTGATTTTGTGGTTATCCTGTATTTCTAATTACGTGAAATAGCTTATTTTTTAAACTAGTTATTTTTAAATGTGTGATATTTTTAGAACATATATTCAGCCCAGAATAGGCGTGATACTTATCTAATGCTCGTTTGAACTTATATATTTTTTATTTTAATATTGTGTTATTACCAACTACTAAACATGCACTATAACGTTTTGTTTTTTTTCTAGTAATAACTGGATTGTTGCCAATTCTTAGCCAAGTGCATTTATTTTTTTATACTATAGGTCCGAGAAAACAATTTGCGATACCGCTAAAAGAATGAAACCTATTGAAAATTACATAATAAATTTTAATTTTATTCATAAAGTCAACAACTTTATGAATCAAATTCTAATTATATAACTGAATATTTTTTATCTCACCAAAAAAGTTGTGATGTAAATTTCTTCTGGATGATTGATGAAATTAAAATGATTATTTGATGTTACAACGAGGACTACCGACAGTTAAAGAATTGCGTCTAACGATTTACTTCCGATAGTCACGGCTTCGATTCCTTGCGGCATAATCATTCATCAGTACTGTTGTTTGTAGCGGTCTTGGTGTTTTTCATGTATTTTATATATGTATTTACAAAATAAATATTTAAGTATTTATATGAATACTCATAACACAAGCTCTGCTTAGATGGGACTAGATCGATAATTTTCAATGGATTTCCTTTACTTTTACAGATTAATACCCATCGACCAACATTTTTTAAAACCTACATATATCTTATATGCTACAATGTTTTTCAACAATGTGAACAAGAAATCTTATCAGTTAAAACAGTATTTTCGAAGCAATTTTATTCTGTTCCGCCGGCTTCATACGGGTGCAATCATTGTAGTGTGCCATTCTAATCTCACTTTTTTAAACAAAATAGTTCCTATATTCCAAATTTGTTTCTAAAATATCTTATTAATATTATAAACGCGAAGTTTGTGAGTATGGATGAATGTTTGTTACTCTTTCACGCAAAAACTACCTGAACTGATTTTCATGAAGAATAACCTATAGGCTATAAATTTCATGCGGATGAAACCGCGGCCATAGCTATATAATTTCTATAGCAGCATGAATTTTTAAAGCCTGATATATATTCCTTTAGTTTATCCATTACAAACAAGAAATCAAGTTTTTCCGCTTTTACTAAAACATGTCATATTTCATACATTACTTACTACACGCCCCACCTTCGCACAGGTGTACATGTTTTATATATATAAACCTTCCTCTTGAATCATTCTATCTCTTTAAAAAAACCGCTTCAAAATCCGTTGCATAGTTTTAAAGATTTAAGCATACAGGGCTTATAGGGTCGGACAGACAGCGACAGCGACTTTATTTTATACTATGTAATGATGAGGAAAAATATTTGATGAGCTTGAATACAGTAAATAGTAAATACAGGGCAGAAAGGGGTTGTTAGTAATGTGGATTAATAATCTCATTGCTAGCAATGTACCGTGTCAGGTTGACTTCCATGCGGTATCCCTGGAAACCTTCGTTATAAATTCATGATGACTTTACCACGATGGACCAACTGACCTGACCTCATTTTCGTCTTATCATCCTCCACTGGTGCCCCGCCTGCGTAAACCGTTAGCGCAGTCAGGAGCACGATTCCATTATTATACATAAAAAAAAATAGTAAATAAGACACAGCCAACAAAAGCAGATATTTTAGGCTGTTATTAATGTTAGTCTTAATTATGGTTTATTGCAATGTTATTAAACTATAATTATCGCATCCAAAATCATAATGAACAATAACTATAGTTTGTGTTGATGACGTAGGTTAGAAATAAGAGATTACAGAGTAATTACTGATCGAGTAGGCTTATTTAACGTCTGTAACCAAGAAATCATCATCCGTCGTACTCGTGATCGGAAGTTGCTTAAGGGACTGTCTGTTCGGGTTAGACTATTTCCTTTTGACAAAACTGCAATAGCATATGCCGGTGGTCTCTCTATTCTCTTATCTTCTTAGAATTAAAAAATAATCTGTATTTTTGTAAAAATGTACCAGCTCTTTAGGATAAGTTTCTTGTCAGTTCTTCTTAGCTCGAAAGTACTCAGAACTGACGGTAGATCTGACATATCATAAGAGTCAGTAACAGACCTACATGAAAAAGTCATTTTGATTTTGAAATAAAATTAATCCTTTATGTGGATACAGATTAAAAATATTTCTTTTTATAACCTTTATTTATGGAATTCCTTTACATACACGTTATAATATGTATGGAGTATATGAGTATTTAAAGACGTTTGAGCCTTCCAAGAAAAGCTATTTCCTGTGACTTATTTTGAGAATATAATTTACTACGGTGTATTGGCTACATTAATGAAAAAAGGGTGTTACATATGGATGGTTATTAGGGCAGAGAAAGGTAGAAAAAGAGATGGATGGTCTGTGTGAAAGATGATATGGTAAGAAAGCGAGTAAATGACGAGATGACTGCGAACAGGGATGAATGGAAGAGAAAAATATATGAATGCCGACCACAAATGAAGGGGATAAGGAAGAAGCAGCTGATGATTGGCTACATTAATGAAACATGTTTCATTTCCAGGTGTCTGTTTTTGAAGAGAATAGAAAATTCTTTATTCAAATAAACTTAAGCACTTTTTATTCAAAAGTGCTTAAGTTTATTTGAATAAAGATAGCCATAGTTATTTTTTTCTAATCTATCGCTCATTCGGAAAGCTGTCTCATCACAAGAACGAGCAAGAAACTGGCGTAATGCTCTTTTTAATTATTTGTTGTAACTTTACATTTTTAAGTTGAAATATGTGAATGGTGTTGCGTAGTAAATTTTTCATGCGCATATAAATAATTTGATGGTATTGTCTAATGAATTATCTATTTTATTTTTAATTTACACCACGTTGCGTTGAAAACGTGTTAGAGTGAGTATTGCATCGCATTTCTGAATATTGACTGAATTATGAAACCGAAAGGTACAATAGTACTGGGACATTATGTTCGATAAACTTATTCCAAAATCGGTCTATTGTGTAATTTGTTACCACTTCATTAATTTTTAAGTTATGGCTAGTTCTCGTTGGTGCGCAAAAGCCCTATGCCTAGATACGCATCAACTTATGTAAGTATTGGGTGTAGGTAAACCATAAGAATGTTATCGATTAGTTATACCCCTGGGATACCATTGACGTTGATCAGTCACCGTATTGTAGATATTTAGATAAAAACTTGCAGGACCATAATAAAATGCGTAAAAACAAGATGTCTCCTGTTTGCCCGAAATCATAGACTGGGAAATGTGCGTTCTCAGTGCATCCACTCAAAACTTCGTCACTTACCGTCACATTGTCACATTTCTGGGATGTGGGGACACGTTCACGATATCTAGCTTACAGCTATGGGTACACGAGCGGGGGATGCACGCCGCGCCCCGCCCCGCCCCGCCCCGCGCGACCGCTACGAAAAAACCTCTTACAAAACAGATCGATCGATATGATCTAAAATGTTCACTCGGCTCGCCACCGTCGACTTTCAACTGATCTAGAGCCTCCCAGCATCGATCCGTACATCGCACCGTCACATGCCTTATCTCTACGTGGTGAACTACCGTCCACTGCTACGACGTTACACTCCATATGTACTTAGAATGCGGGTGGAATTCATCGAAAGACAGGTGTCCTTGCAGACTCGTGAACACACCGGGTTATAACCTGGCACGTGGACCGGCGAGGATCTAGATCTATCGGGAGACGAGGGTAGGAGGCGGTGGCGGTCCCGCGTGGCGGAAACGACGAAGGCGGTATCGATCAGGGCGGCGCGCGGCCGGACACGCCCGGAGCCGGTCGCCGGCCGCCGGACCCGGTTGCATAACGTGCTGGTCGTGCCGGCGGCGGACGCGCGGAGCCGGTATCGACGTGCGTGGGGCGCATGCGCGGCGCGTACCTTCGCAGCCGTAGCCCTGCCCGATGAGGCCCCACAGCAGATCGGAGCAGTGGTGGCAGTACGTGGGCTTGTGGAAGGTCTTCTTCGCGAAGGAGTGGGTGCGATGGGGCGCGGGCGCGGCCTGCGCCATGGCGGGCGCGCGGGCCGGGCCGGGCTGGCGCGCTACTCATGCCGCGGCGCCCAGGGGCGCGCCGCGCTCTCCGAGCGGCTGTCGCGGCCCACCATCGCGGCGCGTCTGCCGCCCGCGCCCCGGACCCAGCGCGCACGCGCCCCCGCCGCCCCGCCCCGCGCCCCGCACCCCGCCGCCGCGCATGCACACCCGCCCTCCGCGACAACGACAGACCTCGTGCCGGCGTTCAGCTTCCCCGGATCGATTCCCTCTCTTATCTTTGGAAACATTCGATCCCATATTTTGCTCAAATACAATATGAATGATGATTCGAAGTATCTATAAACTCAAATATCGTATTCATCACCAAGTATATTCGTACTATAACCATCCATTACTGGGCACGGTGCCAAGTGTTCTTCCATAACATGAGGAAATTAGCTTTCTGTATCTACTCTAGCCAGGCGGTTTGGTACATGATTTCTATTCGTGTTGTACTGTGCTTTGGTCGCTCTCGATATCCTGGAAAAGAACCGATGCTATTAGATTTTCCTTAGTGTCTCTACACAAAATCTATCCTTGTCCGTATTCTTGTACCTTCCTGTTTGTCGTGTTAGAGATATTATAAAATAATATAGCGAACATGAAATCAATCATTGAGCTAATTTGGATGAAATGAAATGGAAAGCGTTACAGATGAAAACATAGATAAATTGTATTCGAAGTAGTTGTACACTGGTGCCATCTATAGTAGTTTACATTGTAGAAGAAATAATACAAACACTCTTATATACTTTAAATATTGTTGCCTTATAAATAATTCTTCTACTTATTCTTGGAAGAGGAAGTCTTACTTAGTAAAAAGTAGTTTGGTAGTATTCTATTATATTTTTTTATAGGGGAGTTTAGACTATTGTCAAGCTTAACTTAAACTTTCCAAAGGAATATTTCGTTTACGCATGAGTGAGCTACAACCACATAGGATGTGTACTCTAAAAATTGTCTAGTTGTCTGTAATATTTTCCACGTTTTTATATCAGTCATATTATAAAGTGATGAAACTACATATACAGGTAGTAGTAGTATTTCGTTATTGAGTACGTTCGATTTTATACACTACTGTTTCATACTATTAAACTCCTCTACTATTGAAGCCCAGCTTCGCACGGGTGTATATGTGTGTGTTACACATATAAACCTTCCTCTTGAATCACTATCTACTGCTAAAAATACATTGAAATCCGTTTCGTAATTTAAAAGATCTAAGCGAACAGGTAACAAACTACTTAGTATGTAAAGTTAACATACACTGAGACAAGTATAGTGTTACATTAAAATTAGTTTGATTTTTTTTGCATGAAAGAGTAATAGACATCCATCCATACTCACAAAGTTTCGCGTTTATAATATTAATAAGATATCAACAACTAAAATTATCTTAAATGTCAAAAAAATTGATGATTCTACTATAAAATAATTTTTCTAATTACCAATTATAAAGTGTAGTTTTGAAAAGTTGCATTGCATTGCAATGCATTAGAGTAGTCCTAAAAAAAGTGGATATTTTATAATAAATAAAAAAAACATACGCCGTGACAAGTACATATCATACAGCGCGTGCGCGTTGCCGCCCACCAATCGAAAAAGCTCTTGTTTACAATTTTAAGAGGCGCAGCATCCTCGTAGCGGCGCGCGGCGGCCGCCGGCCCCGCCGGCCGACCGTCAGACGCCACGCATGTACGCTACACTCACTTCTTATTACATCCTTTTTTTTAAATTCTTAGATTTGTTTAGGGACTTTTATCATAATATGGACCCCCCTAATGTAGTCCAGTTCATTACTCCACTACTCCATTACCAAAGGATAACCGATAACTACTCTCCTCTCGCCTGAAAATCAGCTTAACAATTGCTTACCGACTACGGTCAATTTGTTTTTTTTATAAATGTCTAACAAGAACTGGAACCCCTCATCACATAACGACTTTTTAAATTTTTTTTTGCCTGGTTTGTTTTGAAGGTAGGGCATCCCCATATACATCTCTAGAGTCATTTTAAAAAATGATTTTGTCTATTCTAACAATATAGAGCTTTATTACTATGGTCATATATAGGGGCCCCATTATCAGGCCCCAGGGCCTCGAATAGATGAAAGACAGTCCTGATGCAGGGACTGGCATCAGGGCATCTTACTACTACAAAAACATTGTTATCACTCATATACTTTAGTTTTATAATAAGCGTTTTTACAAAGAAAATGTTTTATAAGACATTTGAATCGTTTTTCTGGCAATTGGGATGAGTAATTTTTTAAGCATGGTGGCTAAACATCTTATTCCGGGTAGAAAGCGATTGTTAATGATTACTAGCAAAGTAAGTTAAGTTGATATCTACCTGGAAAACTAGTGGTAAATTGCCATTTGCCAAGATGGGCTACCTGACGTGACTACATGCTCATTTTATTATTCTCAACTCCGATCGATCCCCCGTCCAATTCAAACGGGGATCGAAATTACGACGGCCCGAGCCGAGGTCCGAACCTCTAGCGGTGCCCTCTGAATAAAGTCGTATCCGTCAGGAGGGAGTTAGCCTTCAGCCACTTTATAAGTTCTTTTGTTAGGTTTGAAGTACCATCTGCACTCGCCGTCTATCGACTGTTGAAGCTGTAAAGGCCAACTGCGGCCAATATAGTAGTCGGCATTAGAGTAGTCCGAAAAAAAATCTGGCAAATTGGGGACAGGCTCTGGAAGTTTGTTGTAAAACCTTACGTAATTTCCATAAAACGAATTTCCAGAAAACTTTCGTCAAACGGCACTTAGGTAAAAAGGAAGGCCGTAATATTATCAAATACCTACATATACTTACCCTGACGCGTATGACGGAGGAAAGAACAGCTAAGCGCATCTTTTACTCATAACTTGATGAAGGCAAGCGGAAGCAGGGCGGACAAAACCTCAGGTACAAAAATGTGCTGAAGCGACACATGAAGCAGTGCGACATAAATCCTTCGCTGTGGGAGCAGCAGACGGCCGGACGGCTGTAGTGGATAGGGCTTGTTAAATCTAGCGTCAAAGGCTTTGAAAACCGATGGCTTCTTGAGCTGGATGCCAGACGCGACGAGCTGAAAACCCGACCACCTTCGGCTATCAGCTATAAATATGTGAACGATGTGCTTTCATGCCCGCAACGTGCGAGGATTTTTAGAAACAAAATTGGCTACATAAGTCACAGGCGAGCACATCAACGGCAAAACCGGAGTTGAAGACAGTCGCCGTAACCGAAATCGGTCGGGATTACATCATTACCCTGAAGGCTGACGATACAATATCAATTTATTTTATTTATATATAATATTTTAACTCGGCTAGCGTTACAGTGAAACTCTTGGGTTATTATGACAGTAATTTAACGATAAAAAACAAACATCAGACACGTAATCACAACGGTAGCCATTATAGTCTAGTATCTTTGAAACTCTTTTTTTCTCTAAACATTATAACGGTTTCAAGCGCGGGCGCGTCGTGACCTATGATTGGTCCGCGCGGCGCATGCGCGTTGGCTGATTTCGGAGGCATGTGCTTGGCGGTTATGGTTTAAATGTGGGCGGAATGATTGGCAATACAATATTTTAAAAAACTAAAATATTAAGCTAAGACGCTGATTTACTTGAACTCACTGTAGAAATGTAATATTATGTTATCTGTGCTGTAGCAGAACCGTTTTGTATACCGATTGAAATAAAACAAATGCTAATATCATGTTTTTTTTTATAAATATTGTTTTCTTAACGGAATAAAATGTCAGTTGTCGTGACTATAATAAAAAAGTTGATTGGGGGCGCCACTGCATTACGCTCCGGAATCAGCAGCGCCATCTTTTGCTCATGTACTTAGTGTATTTATAACACTAGTAGTAGAGAGTTCATTTCCCCTCCGATCGATCCCCCGTCCAATTCAAACGGGGATCGATATTACGACGGCCTGAGCCGAGGTTCGAACCCTCAGTGGTGCTTATCCTATTTTCTTAAAAGTTAAGGCATAACATAGACCAAGAAAAATATATCAAACATTAATAGCAGTGAGGGTGGACGCACTGCCTCTTCTGAGTTATAGACCGTTTTGTCTCGTTCATTACTTTTAAATTTTATTATTATATAAACAGCAATTGTATTAGTTTTTGTTAGACAAATAAAGATGATTATTGTTATTGTTATTATTTTATTATAAATGGGAATAATTTTATTGTGGGTATGAGTCGCACGATACGACTACTAAAAATCACTGCAAAATAAAGTAGAGCCATTGACTATCAAATGCTACGACACTCGTAGACTATCGTCTACAATCTTATCAGTACAAAATTTATATAATATAATAATGTGTACAATGTTTGTGAGGAGAAATAAATAAAATATTATTATTATATAAAACTTTTAAACATATTTAATGTAAAGTAATATCTCTTGCTTTCGGTGTGGCGCAATTTTGGCCTATATTTAATTCCTGTATGTATGTATTTATTCCTTTTTTTTTAATATATAAAAGTATTGTCAACTATCCATTTTGTGAACGCAACACTTGACACGCCCACACATTTCGCTGAGTATGTTTCAATAATAAAAATACACAAGACTACTGCCGTCATTAAAACAAAATTTTGGTTTGATATGATTTATTTATTTCTCCTCACAAACATGTATGGCAATAATACATGTAGTATTCTTCATAATAAAATGCTTAAATTTATAATTCATAATCGATTTGCTGTGAGGAGGTGATGTCTGAAAATTGGTATAGGTAATATCTATGGTTTCAGTATTTTTTTTGTCGGCCACTTTATATAACGAGCTTTTGGTTGTAAATCTGTTGAAATATGTAATAAAACTTAAAAATTTATAAATTGATACATATTTAAATATATTCAAAAAATATAAAAATTGTTTTATAGTTTTTGATTAGAGAATACAAAACTAAACTTTAAATATATCATATCGAAAGAGTTTCTCAATAAAATCGGGGTAATAGATGAGGGTAAGCGGCAATCGCAACAATACATGAGGATCACGTTATCACGTGATGCCTGTAGATATACCTCTTGCATTGCCTTACATTGCTAGCATGCACCATGTTAGGTTGTCCACACTGTCCTCTTTGGAAAACATCAACACAACTTCATCCATCCTCTATGGGTGCCCTCAGGCGGCGTACACCGTCCACGCAGGCCGATGCACCATTTGTTTTTCACCTATTAAAATACATACATTACATGATATTAGGCGGTAAAATAAAGATAAAAAAACATTCCCTAGGTACTACCTCTTACATTAGGATAAGTTACTATAAATATATTTTTTTCCTAAAATTTTAAGATTTTAAAATTTAAGTTATATTTAGGAACCCGACCCAGGAGCTTAACCCAGTTACCCAGGGGTTGTTGCCTCCGGTGCCCCAGTTGATGCCGGAGAAAAGGAGCTCACCCCTAGGCCCCAACCTTCACTCCTCAGGGGGGTGCAGAAGACCAGGGTCATTAAATCAGGCGGTTAGTGCCGTGCAACTGCTACTATCACGCTGTATGGATATACATATGAACCACTGTATGGACAGCAACATCTCAAAATAATGACAGGGACAATAACGAGCCACTATCCCTTAAACAAACACTTGTACACAATAGGTGCTACAGACAGTCCCATTTGTCGGAACTGATTTGAAGCCGAAGAAACGGCCGTTCACATAATCCTGGAGCCGCAGTGGCCACACAACGAAAACAAATCCTCGGACCGCTGAGGTCGCTCCGTAAGGCCTGTGAAGACACCACATGACCTGCGCTTTTGGGAACAGCTTGACTGGCTATTTTAGTAGTCTCGGCTCTACATGTATAACAGTCCACATGAGAGGCTGAGTGCGAAAAATGGAGTCTAACATACATTACATTACCACTGCATGGATTCGATTGAAATGTGGTACACATGAATTAAATATTAAATTAATACTTTGTGTCCTTTGGATAAATATATATTTAATGATATAAATACATACGCGTTTCTCTGTAGTCCGGCTACTGACTACTCCAAATCTACAACCTCAACCCAAAGGTATAATGGACAAGATCTTTCGCGTCGCCAAGGACTAACGCATACCCTAACTCCAAAACGATTTTATTCGAATTCACGCGAGCAACGCTGCGAGATGCAGCTAGTCCAAAATATTCCAAAGTTCAATGACAACGGCCGAAAGGTTTCGCATCATAATCACCGCGTAGGTACATAAAGCGGCACATATAGTTATCGTGGAGGCTTCTAACAAGGGCGCAAATCGCTAATCTCATGGAAAATCCACACGGCTCAGTCGGTCGGTGCGCTTTATAGGTTTATATTTACACAGTCACCCCGTTGAGCGAGGGCGTGCAATGGTACGGCAATTTACGCCTTTAGCACTTCAAATAGGTTTTTTAAGTGATTTCGGGTCATCCGCGCTAACGAATCGTGACAAGGGGCCACTCTAATTAAGCAGAACTTCGATTCCTAGATACCTTTTATAATACGAGTACAGTACGCTAGCAGTTTTATTATTTTTAAACTTTCTTGACACGACTTGTACACTAAATATTGTAGTTTTTAACTTAATCTTACATACTTACATATAGATGTCATAGACTACCCGCTTTCTCTCTCTCTGACTCAAATGCAGGGAAAGGCTCTTTTTGTTTTTTTTTTCTTAATTGTTTTGGTATGTCATATTATGTTATCTGTGGTTTTGGTAATATTTATTAGACTAACGTAATATAAGTAACATCATAGCATATATATGTATGTATTGGAATTATATATATACGTCGATATATACATATATATATATGTATGTACTGATTATATAAACTCAGAAATGATGTACACATGTTTCTGTTTAAAATAAATTTTGATTATTATTTAAACACAGTTTTATACTTGCTATTCAATGCTAAAATAATAGAAATATGTACACATGTTTTGTTTCATTCTCTCTCTCTCTCTTCCTGGCTATATAAATGGTTGGATTATTATTATTTAAACAACAGCAATAGCAATAAACTATTGCTATTCAAGAATAAAATAATAGACATTAATATTTTGTATAATGTCCACCATAGTCCATTTTTCAGCAATTTAAGGTTCAAATTGTAATTTAAAATATCATTAAAAAACATACAATTGTTATAAAAAAATTATCTAGGAGTTTTTTCGTTTCTTAGATCTGTCTGACGGGTTGAAAATTGTTTTAAAGTAATTGTTTGCTGAACTATGCAATAATGGAGTATCGGTATGTAATATTTATTATTTAGAACTTTAAAGCGTCTGTTATATAAAACTGCCTAAGAGCACAACACCAGTTATCAATATTGTGGACAGGTTTTTAAAAATCAGCCATGAGTATATAATTGAATTAAGCACTGTTTTTACGTACATGATATCAGGAAAATGGCCGTCTGTTCAAATTTGCATGTTAGCATACGATTATAATAAGTACCTACTTACCAGCATTAGGCATTTTTTTTATTTAATCGTAATATAAACGATAATTAATAATAATAAAAAAGGACAACATACTTAGCGCCATCTAGTCCCAAGCTAAACAGAAGCTGTGTTATGGATACTAGACAACTGATATACATACTTACGTACCTACATTTGTTTTTTTGTAAATATATCTTATTAATGTTATAAACGCGAATATTATAAGTATGGACGTTTGTTACTCTTTCACGCAAAAACAACTGAATAGATTTGAACGAAACTTTATAATAATATAGCTTATGCATCAGAATAATACATAGCCTAAAATTTCACGCGGGTGTACCCGCGGGTACAGCTAGAACTTAATATACATAGAAAACACTCAGACCAATACAAACAATCATACTATGCTTGCTTTTAGAAAAACGAAAGCAAATTATCGTATCTTATTATTTGCTTGAAGAAAATATTCAGGGATTATTGATTAAAAGAAGTAAAAAGATCTTGTTTCTTAATAATTTGCTTATTATTATTAATTCTGTAATTATTTCATAGTTTAATAAAAATTTTATTGCATGATTAATGTCCAAAGACTGCCAGAAAATGCACGCTGTAATCATAGCGGTATTTTCTGAATGAAAATCAATTGGCTCACTTGACTACCTTAGCTGTCTAAGCTAAAAAGCTGACACAACGCTGAATTAATCAGTGGAGGGTAATAGAATGGTAATGAAGAGAAAGTAAGGCTGTTAGTAGCTAACTAGTGAACTCTATCGATTATTATCATCTCAAATTTTGGACTGTTCTAAAATTCAAATTTTTGTTTAAGTCTAAACCTCATACATATATTAAAAACAATGTCGATTGGTAGGTATTTACAATGCTATAAATTGGGCTATGACCATGAAATACGAAATTAATACGTATCTAGTATATAATTTTAGAGTATACAATAGCTCCAAACGGCTCAAGAATTAAATCGAATTTAGAATCTACCGAGTGAAGCATATACTGCCGGTATATGCTTTACTCGGTCCACTTTTAGAAATAAATAGGTCACTTTTTCATTATTATTTGTTGTGATTTGTAAGCTACGAGTAACAAAAATACATATATCACATATTTATTATATTGTTACCTACTCATTCATTACACATTAAGATAACTGTGACCTTGACAAAAACTTATTATGGCTTCTTTATCGAATTACTCTAAATACTTAAGTGTAGCTAATATGATTCTGTTAATTGGACGTCGTAAAACAGAACAGTGATATCGTGAAATCGCGATCTGAGTTAAATAATAATTTCATGATGATTATTATGTATGGTATGACGGCATTTAGTCACGAAACGTTCAAAGTTACTGTCTACGGAACGCAACGCGTACGGATTGTGTCATTGCCCGCGGGCTGTCAAAATATCCATTAAAAAAAATAAAGAAATGACTGACGAAACTAGAAAAAAAACTTTTTTAGGATTTGATTTTAGTACACAGAGGGTAAGTTTAATTTTATTTCTGCCAACGTTTATTGTTTTGTACCCTTTGTCAACATGCTTGTAAATTATTTCGAATATATTGAACTAACAGCGAGTACTATTTGTTAAATATAAATATGAAATCCCAAACTTCTAATATTCAAAACAATAGGAATTAGTTAATTTTATTTGTAAAAACTAATACTTTGCATTTGTTTTATTACTAGGTAGACAAGTAGTTTAAATTTTTTAACTTTATTTTAAGTAATAGTCTTTATTTTAACAGTCGGCTAATAAATAAGAATGTATTTCTATTTCCTGAGTTAAATTAAATACTTGAAATCAATGTCAGGTTCGGCTCATTGAGTGGGCAGGGGAACTTAGCAGTTTTTCTCGCTGTCTGTGCAACTATAACTTTGTTCACTTTTAAAACTCAGTCCATATATATGTTGTACGTTTTTGTAGATTTGACTCTTTAAATAGCATATCATTTATATTTATTATATGTAACTAACAGTTTTGTATAATAAAATATTACAGAATTTATACAAAAATATGGAACTTAATACCTACCTAATTTTAATTTTATGTATGTATAACATAAAATTAAAATTAGTTGATTAGTTATTAATATGTAATATTTGTTTTCAGTTGAAAGCACTTGTTATCGGTGAGGATTATGAGGTATTACATGAAGCCAATGTTGAATTCGATGTGGATCTTCCTGAGTTCAGGTAAATATTCAAAACTATCCTTACATCGTAATCTGCCCCTGCTTTACATAGATAATATTATTATATGGAGTTATATATTTATTTAAATAAATAGTCTACATAGCCCATTTTACTCTTTGAAAATGTAGTTTATGATAGTGAATTCACATTGCTAGAACCTAAGTGGTCTCGAATAGTATGGTATTAGAGGAGCTTCCTCCCGCGTACAATTGGAGTATAGAATAAACTACCTACCAAAGTTTTCTATAGAGATTACAGCATAGCCTTTTTCAAGAAGGATATATATGATTTCTTAGGGGTTATATACTGTTTTAAATTTGATGCTGTCATTATTTATATGTATAATTAGCTAATCATGGGATCTTACCATGTTACTTAAGGTCAACCAAGGTGCAAGTTTCACCACTGGTGTTTCAAGTATCCATAAGTAATGGTTAATGTTTACTATCAGATGGGCTGTATCCTTCTTTGCCACCATCATAGTATAAAAGCTACTATATGTAGATTTTTTTAGAAACATTCGGAATTAATAACTAAAATCTCCTTGTAATTAGTAGTAATAAATAAAGTAATAATTCCTTCTGAATGTAAACGCGTTTTATATACTAGTTTTATATTTGCAATTGCAGTAAGTGTGTATATAATATAAACTATTAGTTTTACAAACTTTTTTTAAGTGATTATTCAACAGCATTGTGAAGGTTACGGAATCATTACTAAGAATTAACTAGGGGCATGCCCCTAAAAAAATACACCTTGTGATTATTAATTTAGTAGTAAGATTTGTTTCAGTGGAACACAAAGTTAACACACTAACTGGAGTTGTAACCAATCGGAATTCGAAATTTAATTTATAATAATAACAATTTATAACATTAAGTTTTAAACAAATAAATTTTGCTACATTTATACATATGTAACTATTATGTAACTATCTATTTAAAATATTATAGAATAGAATATAAATAATGTTTATTCAAATAAATTTAAATTTAAACACTCTTGAATAGTATATTTTTGTTATTCACAGTATGTGTTTAAAATAATAACAAGCAAGTTTCTTACTTGTTCTTGTGCTGAGATGTTGTCTGAATAGTATTCAGACTCGCAACACATTTGATTAATGTAGAGTTGTAAGCTATCCTGTTTTCCCAGGACATGTCCGTGTTTTTTATAGTGTCCAGGAACATACGGAGTAGGTTTTGAGCAGAGTCCAGGGTTATTAAAAATTAAAAGTAAAAAAAGAAGAAAATATTCAAATATATTAATTAAAAAATATGACTATTTTAATTAATTGAATTTAATTTTATTTACCATCTGTTTCTGTGACTTAGTCACTATATATTAATTTGACTATAACTGCGTCCTGATTTTAAACTGAATTGTCCTGATTTTTCCAACTTCAATACCTGTTATTTCAAATTTGGAGTTGGCAACTCTTGATCAATGCCGTCTATCCCTAAATAAGTAAAGTTGTATAATTTAATCATTTCTATTATCTTATCAGTACCTCCTGCCTGTAATGTGCTAGTACAAACTAAGTTTGTTTTATTTATTTAACTAAAATATAATTTCGCATGATAAATATATATAACACGTTACATAGTATAAGATAAAACGTCGTTGTCGAATAACACCGATATATACCCGAAGGTCACGACTTCAAATCTGGTTGACGACAAGAAAAATCTTTTCGAATTACACATATATAGGAATCCAAATGGATTTAAGAACATTCAATTAATAATATGAATAGGGGACTGGTTGTCCTATTGTTAGCATTTTAGGGTACACAAATGTTTTTTAACAAGAACATTTGTGTACCCTAAAGTGTCGCGAATAAACACAACACAAGGTGGTGAATATATGATTCGATTTGAGAGGAAGTTTGTGAGTGTTCACGCAAAAACTAATGATTGGTTTTAAATGAAACATTACAATAATATAACTTATGCAACAGAATAAAATAAAATAACAGGTAAAATCGCGGGCACTAGTTTTATTTCTTGTAGTAAAAAAACTCAAATTCAATGCGGACGTGGTCGTGTCGTGGGTACAGCTATTCATCCATAAAAATGTCCATACAGGACGGCCGGGGGTGTACTGCGGGGCCAACAGAGGGGTGAGGTAGTGGCCCCACCCCTCCTATGGGTGAAGGCTCTTGACATGGTGATGGATATGCTGGTGGTGGCCGGCGTTGACTTCTCCACCATCGAGGCTCTATCTGGTGCTGCACAGGTAATTTTCGTTACTCCTTGAAACTTTTACATCTATATATATATAACTCAAAGGTGACTGACATAGTGATCTATCAACGTATAGCCTAAACCACTGGACAGATCGGGCTGAAATTTGGAATGCAGGTAGATGTCGTAGGCATCCGATAAGAAAGGATTTTGATTAATTCTACCCCCAAGGGGATAAAATAGGGGATGAAAGTTTGTATGAAACTTTGTCAATTTTAAGCCAATCAAGCTGAGACTTTGCATGCATAAAGCACTACAATGACGTAGGCATCCCTTACGAAATTTATCAAAATGATAAATTCCACCCCTAAGGGGATAAATTAACGCGAGCGAAGCCGCGGGCAAAAGCTAGTTACATTATATACCTGTAGTAGTAGTAGTAGTAGCCAACTTTGTATTTTTTATTTTCTATTTTTTGTGTATGCTTGTTAATTTGTTAATGTTGGTTATAAATCTATATATTTTCATACAATAGCATCTAGTCCCTAATAGTCCCTCTAGTCTAAACAGATATTACGGGTATTATCAATTCATAGAAATACTAAAGAATATACATATACCGAAACCTACGCAAACAATGATAAGTAGGGCAGAGCGGATTGTAAATAGTCTGGAGTAATAACTTCATGCTAGTACCATGTGTACCATATTAGGTTGCACTCCACGCGGTTTACACTGGAAACTATCGTGACAAATTTAACACAAGGAGTTAAGTAATCTAACCATGAGGTTAGATCACTTAGCTCCTTGTGCATGAGCATGGGCTCATCTTATCATCCTCCACTCTCCACTGGTGGCCCGCCAGCGTAAACCATTAGCACAGGCGGGTGCACCGTTTCGTTAGAACGTCGCCTATCATCATGAACGAATATGTGGCGCCCGAGATCTGTTGTGCTAGCCCTTTTTCAAAGTTCGCTTCCTAGACCCGCCAGGGACAAGAGTTGAAGGAAACCATCAACTGAAGGAATTAAAACCATTGCTCCCAAGAATACAGCGATGGTTATTATCTCCTCAGGATAGTGTGTATACTTTCTAAAGGAGTTATTTCGTTTATGCATGAGTGAGTTACAACCACATATTTAGTGGTGTCTTCTCTTCAGCTTGTCAAAATCTGCAGATTTACAATTTACTAGCTGACTGCAAGTTCGTCATTGCAATTACATAAAAAAAAAATAAAAAGACAGACGAAAACAGCGTTACATTTATACATGAAAGTATAATACGCCTTTTGTAGAATATTTTATATGAAAGATTAAGCCGCGCGTGAAATTCACTTTCATTTTAGAATTCTTGCTAATTAACTGCATTATATATTTCACTGCATTGAAATATTTGTTATACAAAATGCAAAAAAATACTTCGTTTGTTGGCTAGTACAGAATATTACAAAACCTTAGCGCCTATACTAGGTTTAATACAGACATTGGCATTATAATGATTGACTTTGAATAGGAAGGTTTTAGTTTTTAATGAGATTTTGTAATTTACATTTATTATATATTGTATAGGAGACATTTTTGACATTTGAATTATAATATTATGGGGTCCTGTTTTATATGAATATATATATAATATAGGTATGTTGTGTCATATTGCCATGCCCTTTCAAGGCGTCACCAAAAATTGTAAAAACTCAACCACACTCTGTATGCATGTGCTTTATATTTTTGTGAAACTGCAATAAATGAATAAAATAAATATAATATCATACTATTGAAACGTGAATAAAATGTTCTTCTATCAAATGTTACAGCAACACGGCTCAGTATGGTGGTCTAAAGATTCAGAGGCTAAACTGAACAGCCTCTCCCCTGATGACTTCTTGCACACGCAGCTCGCGACGGCTTTCGTGACAGACTCCCCGGTGTGGATGGACTCCAGCACTAGTGCTGACTGCAGGGCTCTCGAGGAAGCAGTGGGAGGACCTGAGGTATCACACAAGTTAAAAAAGAGAAAAACATACGAGTGTTACGCCGACCTCAAATAAATGGGATAAGAAAGAAGCAGATGACGAGTAGACCTACACTTAAAAATTTGTTATGTATAACTATATTAAATCAGCAAAAAAAAAACATATAAAAAAAGCATATATACTCTTTTAGAGTACGCAGAAGCCTTGCCTTCTATCTATACATATAAAATTGGAGAGTCTGTTTGTAATATTGAAATAACCGTTTTTACTACCTACATGCATATTAATATAAATACGGTACATGCACCAAAATAACATTTTTTTTATAATTTTGCTCTGTCTGTCTGTTCGTTTCGGCTAATCTCTGAAATGGCTGGACAGACTTTGACGTGACTTTTGGAAGGTAGCTGATGTAATAAGGAGTAACTTAGGCTACTTTTATTTTAGAAAAAATCTTTATTTAAGGAAAATAAAGTTTAATTCCACGCGGACGAATTCGTGGGTACAGCTAGTAATATATAAAATAAGAATGTACCTGACTTTATATACTTAAATATAATAGTTTTAAAATATAAACGTGTTGGCAATTAGCTGTAAGTTTATATTGCATTAATTTAATAAATAAATATTCCGTTCATAGGAGCTGGCCAGGATAACGGGGTCTACAGCATACGAGCGGTTCACAGGCCCTCAGATCCGCAAGATGTACCGCAGCCGGGAGCGCGTGTACCACGCCACATCTCGCATCTCTCTGGTTTCGTCGTTCGCGTGCTCACTCTTCCTGGGACGAATAGCCCCTATTGACTACTCTGATGGCTCCGGTATGAACCTACTGGATATACACAACATGAAGTGGAACGAGAAGGCTCTGAAGGTAAAGGACATAATCGAACGTTAGATTAATGTGGGAGGGTATAGTGACTAGTCTGCTTTTTTTTATCTCACAGACAAATGTGACATTTACAATTCTTAAATAGTGTTGTGACGTTATCGGAAATTAAAATATACCGATTTTTATAGGTTATTCAGATTTATTGTATATGAAAAAAACTTAAAAGTAATCGTCGAAATAAAAAAAAACTTTTCAACAAATCGATATAGTAAAATGTTTTAGTTATAAGTTTACTGTCACCTGAAGATAAATACATAGATTTTTTTGTAAATTCATACATAATATACATAGAAAAAATCCAGATCGATACATACATATAATCATATATAAGCGAGGAATCGAACCGGTGATCATCGGAATTAAAGCTAAACCATCGAGGTCGTATTGTAATAGTAAGTGATTCTTGTGTTAATCTCCAGGCGTGCGGTGATGACTCTCTGGAGAGTAAGCTGGGCGCCCCGGTGCCGACCGCCAGCGTTTTGGGTCCCGTATCCCCTTACTACGTGCAGAGGTACGGGTTCAAGTCGGACTGCAAAGTTGTTGCGTTCACAGGCGACAACAATTCAGCTCTCGCTGGTAAAGAACATATATACTTTTTGAATTATTTATCTATTTATTCTTAACAATTATAAAATTCAAGTGTTCTGAGGAATTGTTCGACATGATGCCAACGGCCACCTTTTACCACCGCAGCGCTCGCCATCGACAGGGAATTCATCCTCACACGCTGGAACCTAAGTGGTCCCGAACAGTGCGGTTTCAGAGGAGTTTCCTCCCGCGTACACTTAGATTGTGGAATGAACTGAGGTTTTCACCTCGGCAGGAGGTAGCTGTAGTCTCGTGGGAAACCACGAGACTACAGCATGGGGTTTTTCAAGAAGGGTATATTAAGGTTTCTTAAGGGTCGACAACGCGCAAGTGATACCCCTGGTGTTTCAGGCGTTCATAGGCTACGGTAACCATTTACCATTAGATGGGCCGTATGCTCGATTGCCACTATCGTAGTATAAAAAAAATTCAACAGTGTAAATTACATTCCCTTAACATATCTGCCCTAACTGGGGTAGGGTACTATATAGATAAAAATCTCAAGTATCTTGTTGAAAAGTACCGTAAAGTGCCTTATAAGTACATAATTTGTTTGATATTCGATACCATGATGCTACAAGTCTTATCTTCCCTCTTAAGGTAGATCCATATTAAATAGCTTTTAAAGATAAGATATTTTGTGATAATTTTATCTATATGTGAAATCTATATTATGAATGTCGGTGTAATAAAAAATATACTTAAAACTGTTTAATAAGTGTATGAATAAAGATTATTTAGTTTATTATTGTATATTATTAATTTATTATATTATTAGATCCTATATTTTATTTAATACGAGTGACACGTCGTCCCGGCTGCTCATAGATTTATAGCTTTTTTATTTGTTGCAGATATTAAATATATAAATATGTATTATATCCCTATTTATTTCACTATGTAATTCCTTATAATATTTGATTATAACTTGGATATTCCTACAAAAATCTTGTAATATTAATTTTATATTTAAATTTACAATTTTAGAGTACTTTTTTTATGTTTATGGTCATGTTTTTTTTTTATATATTATTCATAATTTGACCCTGTGCTGCGGTAGTTTTTGACAAAATTGTCACTTTGTGACAAATTGTGATCAGATTGTGACTTATAAGCGGTCAATTATAAGACATATGACTAGGACAGACAGAACAGACGGATGCGACATACACGAAGACTGACGACTAGGAATTTTATAAATTACTAGCTGACCCGGCAAACGTTGTTTTGCCATATAAATTAAAATCACTATTAGATAATAGGGGTTGGTGGTAGAAGGCCGATTCTAAAAAAAATTGTCGAAGAAACACTTAGGGGTATAAAAATTAGACATAAAATTTCATCAAAATCGGTCAATCCGTTTCGGAGGAGTTTAAAAATGAAACTTGTGACACGAGAATTTTAAAAATTAGATAATTTATCATCAGACAAAATCTTGCTTTTATTCAATATCTACGATAACCTTAACGGTCGCGTTGACTTGAACACCGTTCACCCTAGTTCTCAATATTCTTATTTTATACACAATTCACCGATTCGTGTTGTGGCCGTCCAGGTCTCCGGCTGCGAGCTGGCTGGGTGGGCCTGAGCCTGGGTACCAGTGACACAGTGCTGGTGGGGCTGGAAGGCCCGGCGGCGGCCGCGGCTGGCCACGTGCTGGTGGGGCCGACCCCCGGCGCGCCGTACATGGCGCTGCTGTGCTTCGCCAACGGCTCCCTCACGCGGCAGAACCACCGCGACCGCCTCGTCGGACCCAGCTGGGAGGCCTTCAATGAACTGCTCAAGACCACCGTCCGAGGGAACATGGGACATATGGGTGAGGGTCTCGATGGATGATTATGGTGTAGCTACGTTTTTTTTATAATGGGTGAATGTTCAGAACTTTTATTGAGTTTAGAGAGAGAAAAAGAAGAAGAGAAGAGTTTAGAAGAACGTTAGCCTTTATGAGAGGGTGCAAACGGGTACTGTGTGAGTTTTTACCCACTAAAACTCCTCGACGTTCATAAACAACGAGCGCGTAACAAACTGGGAGGGATGGTGTACTTACCTTCTTTTTAAGAGGTGAAATCTTTGAAACAGAACCGTCCGTCTTTATGAGAAGGTGCGAACGGATACTGTGGGCCTTTTTACACATGTTCTAATGCTTACTTATAACATTTATAGTTCTTATTATACTTAATAACAATGTTTATTAATAAAATATTACTTCTTAAAAATCTATATAAAATAAAAATAAAAATGATACTTATATGTCATAAATTACATATAAGTATCATTTTTATTTTTATTTTATATAGATTTTTAAGAAGTAATATTTTAGTAAGTAAGTAAGTCATTTATTCGCATTACAGACAGATATGCACATAACAATAAAGCCCCAGTGACAGTAGCAGGCTGCTATTAATAAACATATAATTATTAATAAACATTGTTATTAAGTAGTATTTATTTATTTATTTAAACTTTATTACAATTGTACAATAGGCGGGCTTAATGCTATAAGCATTCTCTACCAGCCAACCCTAGGGAGTGCAGAGATACTCGAAGGTGGATTAGTAAATTAAATAAAAATGTATTAAATAGATATACATATTATAAATAATGAAATATAACATACATACACATAATATATTATAAACAAACTACACATATATAAGATGATAATGAGCCTTATTACAGTACTGTGAGATATGATTTAAAAGATATTCATTAACTCTTTTTTTTAATATATTTAGAAGGAAGTGTGCGGATGTTTTCTGGCAGTGAGTTCCAGAGACGTGAGGCTTGTAAAAGAAAAGAGTCGGTCATGAAACTCCTTTTATGGAGTGGCGTAGTCAGAACGAGGGAATTTTTAGAGCGCAGGTTACGGTCATGGGCATCCCTTAGATACTGAAATTTACATTTCAAGTATTCAGTATATATATTTAGTGTTGTTATTTTTAAATATATAAATTGTATACAATGCTCTGGAGATGGGCGCTAATAGCATAATAACAGCAACACAGTATTTTATAAACTAATATAGTTGTTTACGTTTAACATGTTATTGTTATAACTTTGTATTGGTTTCAATAAATTATTTAATTCTTTAAAAAAAATTATGGTAGCTGGTAAACGGTTACCGTAGCCTATGGACTGGAACTGGACCGTTATGTAACGAAATAATGTGGGGAAGGACCCCCAGGTAGCAACAGTCGAGTGGTGTGTTCCCTGCAGGCATCTACCTGGACGTGGCGGAGATCGTGCCGCGGGTGCGGGCGGGGTGCGTGTGGGCGGAGCCCGGGGGGCGCAGCGCCCGGCCGCCGGCGGCGTCCTACGAGGCGCGCGCGCTGCTCGAGGGGCAGGCGCTCGCGAGGCGCCTCCACGCGGAGGACATGGGCGTCATACTCGGTCAGTTAAGTCTCTTACATTTACTTCCAACACCCATTATCTTGTCGAGGATTTTTCTTATACTACTGTGTTGGCAAACAAGCATACAGCTAGTCTGATGGTAAATGGTTACTGTAGCCTATGGACGCCTGAAACACTACGGGTGTCACGTGCGCGTTGCCGACCCTTAAGAAACCTAATGTAACCTTCTTAAAAAACCCCATGCTGTAGTCTCGTGAGAAAACCTCGGCAGGTTCATTCAACAATCTAAGTGTACGCGGTAGGAAGCTGCTCTGAAATCGCACGGATGATAATATAACGGTAATAATAATACGTATAATAAGTAAAAATCACGGGATCTTACCACGTTTTATATTTATTTGCTGAGTTCCCGATATTTCGGTAATGTTTCAACCACCATGATCACGGGTAAAATGAAGAGCAGCGGGTAGATGGAAAATGAAATCTTTTTATGGGCAGACACCACCACTTTCCACCTTCACACGTCTTCATTTGTTGCTACTACTGGAACTCGCTCGATATTGTAACTGTACTCACATACTGTGAGTACAGATTGCCGAGATGAATATCTATTATATTATATTAATTTTTACTAATTATACGTATAAATAATGACCGCGTCAAGTTTAAAACAGTATGTAATAATAATAATCTGAAAACATGAAAAAGTTTATATAATACCGATAGTCGTCTCATCCACAGGTAACATACCTAATCGCCTACATTATAGTCTGAAACAAATAATTTTACGAAAAACATTCTACAGCACCCTTCTAAACCCGTTTTAAATATAAATGTGATAGACTGTAGTTATAAGTAAGTGATGTACTTATATACATTTTTGATTGTATGTACGTAACATAATATACATAGAAAACACCCTGAGCGATATAAACAATTATACCGACGGTGTCGGTGGTCTAGCGGTTAAGCTTCACTTCTGATGGGCACTGCTTCAATTCCACGCACGGTGCAAACACGGTTAAATACCTACAAAAAAAATCTATTTATGTCAGTTGTCTAGTACCCATATCACAAGCTCTGCTTACCGTGGTACTAGATGGCACTGTGTTAATTGTCCAGAGTTATTATTTATTTATTTATACTCATGAATTTATAATTTTTTTATCCACTAGATTCGTCTTCGCGCTTGGTAGCGACCGGCGGCGCTTCGGTCAACAAGGAGCTACTGCAAATATTTGCTGATGTCTTCAATACGCCGGTATATGTGCAGGTGACGTGGTTTTATCAAAATCTCTACCGTACTTATATGTGGGATGTGGGATGGATGAAAGTATGAAGTATTGAAAGATAACTCAGCGTAACTCCTAGTCTCCTACTCAACATGGCCCATGCCGCGGCAAGTTCTGGGGACGGCAAATTGGAACTTAGCAAACGAATCCACCTTTAACAACTTGATCTGAGGGCTGAAGTAAATTATTTTTCGCAGAGTGCAACTATTGTGTATAAATAACAAATTATATGTATGAGTAATAAAAACAATATACTAATTTAATTAATTATTTAATACTAATTCGACATATTTCAATCAGTGTTTTGTTCTCTGAACAATGTTCCACGCTGAGCTTCGACCTGTTTGTATTGCTACAGATCACACATAATAACACAATTTTATAAATCTTATGTCGTATTATGTATTGTCTATTCTTATGAACATGTTGTGTGTGATTAGTAACAAACAAATATACGACATATTCTATGTTAATATGTATAAATGTGTAGTAGCATACTTTCTACAAGTGCTATTTAGTCCTTGCAACTTCGCGACAACAACGCGACCCTCACGCCATTGCTACCGGTAGCAGCGCGTGTACGCGACACGTGTAACTTTGTATATAAGGCACACATCTCAGTAAAAACACTTATTCTGTCTCTCGTCTCTATCTTTTGAAGCTCCCAGGTTGTCTACGAAGTAGGTCCTAGACCTGAACCCTAAAGGGACGTGTATTCACCCCCTGAAAACAATATTTGTAAAAATGTTGGCCGGAGGGAGAGGTAGTGTTAGAGGGGCGGATTTAGTCCGCCTCGAAAAAAATTAAGATCCGGTCCTGCTCCTACTTCAAGTTCTTTTATTATTTATTTATTACCTATAGTTTCTTTCGTTTTTTTTTTTTTATTTTATTTCCAAACATTAGCACATTCACACTCGAGGACATAGCTTAAAATCAGTGTTTTGCTCCTTGAGTGATTCTCGCGCATTTCCACGTTTTTCAATCGTGCTAACTTTAGCGGATTTTTAATATTATTTTTTTTAATTTATGTATATTTGCATGTATTATTTATACCTATATTAGTTGTGATATAAGAAGAAGAGTAGGTGGTGGAAAGGTCATTTACACCACCTATAAGAGATTGTGGTGGCCTGTAAGAGATTGCTTAGCGATAAGGCCACTTTTTGTACTCATCATTGTGTATACTTATTTTTATATTAATTAATGTAACTGGGGCAAAAAAGTGTATAAATAAAAATTAATACTCCAAAATGGCGGACTTTTGGATACAAAACATAATAGAGCTATTGTTATATATTTAAATATATTTTGTGTATTTTCAGAATGAGCATGCGAACGCAGCTTTGCTAGGAGCAGCGATACGCGCCGCCGATGTTTGGAGTGCGGAGGCTGGTGTCAAGTTATCAGGTAAAGATAAAGACTGAAACTACTACAAAAGCAATTTAGGCTGAAAAAATTTTACTTGTATTATATTTATGTAGTAGTATTAACCCAGAATAATAAACACAGCGCCATATTGTCCTAAACTAAGGTGAGCGTATACTATGTTTACTAACCGACTAATAGAAGTATTTAAATTGGTGCCTTTTTTTATTTTAAGTTAAAATTTAGAAAATTAAAGAATTTTTCTAAAATAAAAGTAGCCTAAGTTACTCCTTATTACATCAACTACCTGCCAATAAAAGTCCCGTCAAAATCGGTCCAGCCATTTCAGAGATTAGCCGGAACAAACAGACCGACAGACAGACAGACAAAAATTGTAAAAAAAAATATTTTGTTGTATGTACCATATTTATATTCACATGCATGTAGTAAATAACCGTTACTTTAATATTAATATCAAAAAGACACTCTAATTTTATTTATATGTATAGATTAAATCCTAGAATAACATACTTGAATATAAATTGTATCCAGTGAGAACTGAACCCGCAACCAATAGAAGTAAAGCGGTGTACTGAATGGTTATACTATATGAAAAAATGTACAGTTTCGGGTAGAACAAAAGTTGTCTGTTACCAACTTTTATATAACTTTTACTTACTGTTTAATATACCGTTCCGTCCCAACCCTGTATAAATTAATTACAAATAATGTGATGTATTATTTTGCACGTTGTGTTTATTGTGAAAGTTTAGGTATAAGAATGGCGAAACAAAACTATATATAGAAAATTATTTATTTTTATCTTAGAACAATTACAACGGATGGTATAGTAAGGTACATAAGCAAAACAATATGCAACTAGATAAAATTCATTTTTAAACACATGTGAAATAAATATAAAAAAAGTAATTTATTCTAACAACTCTAAAGAGTTCTGTAACAGTTATTTTACATTTACATGAGTTACAGCTGAAAGCTAACTCACGTCTGAAGGATACGACTTTATTCTGATCGCACCGCTAGGGGTTCTAACCTCGGCTCAGGCCGTCATCATATCAATCCCTGTTTGAATTGGACGGGGGATCGATCGGAAGGGTAGTCCACTGGTGCTGTGTAAATTATTATTCTGTTCTATTAATATTGTGATTCTAATAACGTTTGTAGGTGCGGATCCCTCAGTATCACCGGTGGCAACGCCGTACCCTGACCATGACCAGATATACAAGCCGATGATGCCTCGCTACAGGCAGATGATTGCCACCTTCTCCAAACTGGAATGATACCTAAATCAGGGTCTTTATTATGTAACCTCCTTTAATAATTCTTATTTGAAACAGGTTTCGATTATGTAACACATTTGCATAGAAATTCATTTGAAACAGATGACAATCTACAAGGCTTTACTTTTTTATGTAATGGAACGGGAAACAAGCTGATTGGCCACCTGATGGTAAACATTAACCGTCGCCTATATACATGAATAGCACTGCAGACATCACGTTATCATGTGAAACTATCTGTGATAACACTAACACGTTATCATTCCATAAGACTGTCAAGCCTCTTATTATATTTGTCTGTATTATATAATGTTATTAACAATTCTCATTTGTAATGATGCTAAGTCGTACGGTTAGAAATTGCAACTGTTAAATGGTAAAGATTAGAGTACCGAATGCAGCCATGGCGCTTGTGCGCATTTTAACTAAAATTATTAAATTTTAAGTTAAATTTATAATATCTGTATTTTAAATACATATATTATTGATTTAATATGCGTGAAGCAAAAACGTTACATAACTGTGGTCCATTTTTAAATAGTTAATACACATTTACTGTTTCAAATTAGAATTGATAGCAACTGTGTTACGTAATCAAGTAGAAGTTTCTATCGCTAGTTCGCTTTAAAGCATTTCTGCGTTGCATTTTAATGCTTCTTTGATATAGATAGCAATATTTAATTCTTAAATGTATATCTTGTACACGTTACCAATATTTAGTGCATATTTGTTATAGAATAACGCAAATATGTTCCAAGACACTAATATACGCATTATGCAGGTCAAAATAACACTGGACAATTCACACAGCGCCATCTAGTCCCAAGATAAGCGTTGTGATACGGGTATTAGACAACTGATATAAATATTTAAAAACTTTTTTGTAAATACATACATAATATAGACAAACAAACAGACTTATGAATACAAATGTTTGCACCGTGCGAGGATTCGAACCCGCGACCATCGGAACTAAATCGGTATTTATTACTATCTCCACCATCCAGTCCGTTAGCTACCTTCAACTTCAAACTAAGCCCTAATGGTATATTTTTATAATCCGTTTTTTATCATATATTTGAATATTTCCACTTTCGCTTTATATAAAGTGAATATTAAAACAGTGGAAAGATTCAAGATGCAGGCTAGCATATTAGGATTTTTTAATAATAGTAGAATGGTGCACTCGTCTGCGTACGTCTGTATAAAGGTATACACTGGCGGGGCACTAGTGGAGGATGATAAGATAAGCATGAGGTCAGGTCAGTGCACATCGCGGCTAATCAGCAGGAATTTATCACGATGGTGTCCAATAGAAACCTGACATGGTACATCAATGGGGTTATTATCATTATTAGATTGATTTTTCTGATGGAGGAGTTAGGAGTCTCCGAAACTGGCGTGTATGAGACGAGCTATGAATGAAGCAAGAGTTGAATGAAAGGAAAAAAGTCAATGGCACTCGGTACTGTCTACCTACCTCGCAAGGGGTATAGCGTGAAGAAATAACAAAGGAAGGAAGTCAATGACACTAACGGTTCTGTCTACCCCACAAGCGATTTAGCATGAAGCTATTAGATCTTCCAATACTATTTAATTATGCAAGCAAAGGCTTATAAAGACTTATGTAATTTATAACTTAATTGATTCATTTCATTAAGAATTTATTATTATTCTACTTCACAAATTGTGATCAGGTTTAAATTCAAATTCAAATTCCAAAATCAAAGTCAATAATAATTTATTCGCATGCGCGTTGCTGGCCTTTGAGAAACCATAATATACCCTTCTTGAAAAACTATACATGCTGTAGTCTCGCAAGAAAATTATAACTGATCTCTGAAAAAAATGTAAGTCACATGTATCAGCCAAAAAATATGAACATTTTAATACTTGATTTTTTCTCTATGAACGAAGTTTAGATATTAAATATTTTTTATGTGATTGTAGATTCCATTATTTTGTGATTAACACGATTATTGTCTATATTATTCCATTACTCTGTGATTAGTAATTTTAGATGGCAACAAGAGGTAGGTAAAATATACCATTATGAATGTACCCGCGGTTTTACCAACTTGTAATATGTAAACTATACATATGTTGTTCCTATGTATAAGCTATATTACTGTAAAGTTTCATCAATATCCATTCAGTAGTTTTTGCGTGAAAGAGTAACATCCATCCATCCATCCATCCATACTCACAAACTTTTATGTTTATAATTTAGTAAGATTGTTAAAACCTTGAATGTTGATATTTATTATTGTTAATCTTTTTTAAGAGTTAAGTACAGGTACAATCCGTCCGCTTTTTGTGAGAGATAGATGTAGACTATACCTATCAATACATACAGGGTTATTGTAAAGGATATATGAAGCCAATAAATATTGTAAAAAAAATAATATAAAAATTGAAAATATTTTTAAATATCTTTAACGTTTATTTGTGTGTCATACAGACTCCGCAGTATGTAATCTTCCACAAATCCTTATTTCTCGGCATATAAGCTTACTCTTCTTTTTGCGTATATAAACAAAATCCGGTCAGTAGTTTCTGCATCAAAGAGTGACAAACATCCATCCATACTCACAAACTTCCCGATTTATAATATTACAAACAAACCGCACGTTTATTTGACGCATTTAGTATAAAAACTTCTAATTTTAATTTCATATGGAAATATGAAATTAAAAGTGGTTCATTATTTTGAGTATTTATTAATATTTTACCTTATCGTTAGTAAACCTTGTATATAAACTTTTTACATCACTCGAGTATTCATTCATCACTTGATAAAATTAGGGGAATTTCATTTTTAGCTCGCATAATCATAATCTATCAAAATGTATGGTCAGGTGATAATGTATGTATAATTTTATCTCTAAGTTGTTTCGTGAGCTTCGTTAATTGTATGACATCAGTCAATGTAAACAAATCTATAATTAAAAAATCTGTTTTTATACTTTACATATTAAGTGGACAGATTTCTTTTATAAAATAAAAGTCATGAAAAAACTTAACTAAACATGTCTTCATACTATAATAATATTATTAAGAGAAAATAATCGTTTGTTTGCTTGCATTAGACTTAAAAACTATTGGACCGATTTGAAAAATTCTTTACGCTACTCGTATTTATAGTTTTTTATAATATATGCATAGTAAATATTACAACTATAAATTACAGTAGCTCAATTAAGTGTTACTAACAACTTCCATTTGAAACAAATTAAATCTACAATTTCAATATTATGATAATAAAATAAAATAACAATATAACGGACAATTTGCAACTTTCAAATGGTTCATAGAAAATCGCAAACTCGCTGTAATTGAGTATGAGATGAATTAATTATAGATTTGTCATTTAATATATAAATATAAACTTGATATGAAATTGAGGTAGAAATATTACTAATTTAGATAAGCAAACTGAGATTATTAATGTTTACTTGTTGTTGAGCTAAAAACTTATATCCATATAATTATGGAAAAACGTCGAACGTTATATGTACCTTTATTTTTACAATAAGAAAACTATCGCTTCGCGAAAAAGAAATATAATGAAAAACAATTAAATTTTATAAAATGTCTTTACAAATTGACAAATAATAACATATAATACTAAATAAGTTTCTCTAAAAGACATTCTACTTAATTATAATCAGGATATTGATTGAATTCTATACTTATAATTTCTTTTGCCCTGACTGACTATCAACACGCTGCAAAAATAGCTTAGAAATCTGAAAGTTGGAACATATATATTATTTAACGTTAGCTCATGAAGGATTTTAAAAATGTCTATTTGGCAATATTACTGTGCTTATTGAAAAAAGATAAACCTGGTTTAGCACAGGCAATAAAACATTGACCAAAGTATATCTCATTACAAAACGAAGTTTATCTTTGAACTGTTATTTGTATATGGTCTAATGATAGACTTGTGTGCGTAGTCGTATATATAACGACAGATCGTTGGAGACACTATTGAGATTGTAATTAGTCAATAAGGAAATATAAAATAATATTTATTGCTATATTTTTCAATTTAATAACATTGTATCGTACCATTACTGACTCAAGCCCAAAAAGGATCTGACTTATGCTATTTCATATGCGGCAAATACTAAGACGCATAACTAAAGCAATCTTTTATCTCACTTTAAATAATTTTTCACAAGTTTAGAAAGTGACGAAATGTTTTTAGTTAATTCTTATCCATGTTTATGTTGCTTTAGTTATTGTCGGACATTTTGTATATTATTTTTAATATACGCATAATTTATAATTCTTAAAAATTATAAACCTCGCTCAATTTTATTTTAATTATATATTTTTTTATATACATACGCAATGTATGCCGTGCAGTTAATTTATTATTGTGCAATATTTTGTATGCTACTTTACATTCCAACATAGAGGCCTTATATTTTTACATTTAATGATAACTAATTAGAGCTTTTTTATTTACATTTTACACGTTTTTAATAAATGTTAATCGAAAATATTTTGTTTTACTTACAAACTACCTATCCTAAACATTGTTGGTGTTGCCGACGGAATATAAGAAGTAACCAGTTAGACTATGGTTTTATTTTCTAATCTAAAGCTCAGGACAAAATTGACATCGGATATGACTCTATTACTTTGTCTAAAAAACTTCATATTAGCTCAGGGAGAGTGGAATAAGGGTATTTTATTAGACCGATATGAATAATTATATTTTGATATTGATTACATTTGTGTAGAATAGATTTTGTGAATTTACAGCATTTTAAAGCATCTTTACATAATATAAAATGATTCTGCTGTCTGATCGCGTAGATCTTTTAAAATATGCTACGAATTTTAATGCAGTTTTTAGTAATATGTAGAGATTCAAGAGGAAGGTTTATATTATACATGTATACTCGTGCGAAGCTGGGGCGGGTACCTAGTTTATTATTATTTATAGAAGGCATAGCTACCTTAGTGCTATGAATAAACAATGAAAAACGAATTAATAGTTCTACATTTATTCTGTCAAAATCATGTAAAAACATGTATGTAGTGATTATCTTGTGATTTACTTCTTGCGTCCACCGCGCTCCTTCACTTGCAGTTGTATGACGGCGCCGGGCGGCACGTTGTAATACGCCAGCGTGTTTGTGTCTTTGAAGAACAGGCCCTGAGAAAGCATTATTTTAGTTATCCCTATTAGATTTTCTTACTAAAACATATGTTTGTCCTTTTTATTAAATAACTACCTTACTAGGCTTGCTGAATGTACCTAAAGGTTAGCAGGGAAATAATACCGTACGGTATTAAACTAGACTATAATAGAAGAGTTATTGTTCAATAAAGAATAAAACTACATCAATTTCAATCCCTAACATTCGTTTAATAGTGAAAAGAAAACGGACATACTCACTTTTTTTATGAGTTTTAAATGTAGTACATAGAAGAATATTTGTTATTCATTCACCCAAAAACTTATTGAATAGATTTTAATGAAATTTTACAATGATGTAGCTTATATATCAACCGTGCACGCACCGCGCATGCGTGTTTGTGTGTGTGTGTGTAACAGTTTTTATATAAGTATTATTCTTTGTGCACGCTATGTGTGCGTGGGCGCGTGTGGGTACCTCGTAGTGCAGCTTTTGCTTGGCGATGGGCATGTTGGTGGAGCGCTGCAGCATGCTCTTGAGGTCGGCGACGGCGGTGGCCAGCGACACGGTCAGCGGCAGCAGGCGCCCGTCCAGCCGCCACTCCGCGCGCTCCGGGGCCGACGGCAGCGACACCTGCAGCCATCAGTACACAGGTTCAGTGACACGACAATACAATACAATGATTTGCTTTCAGGTTCCGGTGGTCAAGCGGTTTAGCACACAGCTTTACTTCCGATGGTCCCGAGTTGTCATGAGTATGATTGATTTGTATCGGTTTGGGTGTTTGTAGTATGAACTTCAAAGAAAATTAAGTTTTCAAAAATATTTGTATCAGTTGTCTTGTACCCCATAATACAAGCTCTACTTGTCCTGTTATTCCGTGTAACGCAAGAAATATGTCTATATTATGTACGTATATCAGTTGTCTAGTACCCATAACACTAGCTCTCCTTGACTTGAGACTAGATAGCGCTGTGTGAATTATTCTCTAATTATTGTATAGGTGACAGTTGCCACTTTCCGTCAGGTGGGTCATCTACTTGTTTGCTATTCTAGATATATAATAAATATAACGTATAAAGAAGTTTGCGGTAGAGCACAGCTGGGCACGGACCTGTATGTGTGCGGGCGCGGGGTGCCTCGCGAGCCAGGACCCCTCGGGCTCCAGCGCGTCCTCTGTGCGCAGCCGCTTGGTGGGCGGAGCCTCCTCCTCCTCCGCCGGCGGTGCAGGAGGGAACCCGTATGCCCTGCATTAAAAAATACATAAATTAGTAATTTATAATACATATTTGAGTCGTCCGGTGAAGCTGTAAACGCCAGCTGCGGGCTAGAGTAGTTCTAAAAAAAAAACCATATTGGACGGCCTCGGTGGTCTAGCGGTCTAGCACATCGCTTTACGGCCGATATCGCGGGTTCGAGTCCTCGTACGGTACAAACATTTGTAATAATGAGTGTGATTGTTTGTATCAGTCTGGGTTTCTTTTAAGTATATATATTATGTATGTATTTACAAAAAGAAACATCTATCTATTCTTCTATTTCTATTCTATTCTACGGTATATACAGCAAATATACCGTATCAGCTAGGACTAATATATATAAAGCATTATTATTAGTAGTCTGATCTGAGTCTGATCTGAGAGTAGTCTGATTAGGAGTCTGACCCCACAAACATTGTTTTACAAATTAAATTAAAATCTATTAAAAAATAGGGGTGGTTATAGAAGGGAGAAAAGTATGGGGGTTAAAAAATTACATTGTTGCTTTAAAAAAATATATAATTTTTTTTTAAATGTTAAATTATGTATGAAATATTCTCAAGTAGTTTTTTTTCGTGACCGAAAAAACCTAGTAGGCCTCGTGTATATACGCTTACTATGTTTTATTTAACAAAAAGTGGCGTGTTTACGTACGCGGGCGTGGGGATGAGCGGCGGGCGGGGCGCCATCGGCGGCAGCACCATCAGCGGCGGCAGCGGCTGCAGCAGCACGGGCGCGGGCGGCGCGGGGTGCGCGGGGTGTGCGGGGTGCGCGGGGTGGGCGGGGTGCGCGGGCGGGGCGGGGGGCGCGGGCGGGGCGGGCGGCGCCAGGCCCGGGGGCGCGGGCGGCGCGGGCGGCCGGCCCCGGGCCGGGCCGGACACGGGCTTCGGACCGATCTTTTCTTTCTCCTCGTCCGGCAGCAGACCTTTCACCTGCAAACGTCAATAAAATTGCATATATTTATTTGAATATCGAATATATTTCTCAAGACAAAGATAGAGTTATTATATAGACTTTATATTAGACTCGCGACTGAAATGTAGTCGACTGAGATCCTCCCAGATGTTGGTGTCAAGGAAAGTACCTCACTATCGTAATTGTCGATTATTCATCATATGAGGAACATAACCTTGAAGAACATAGACGATGGAATATTATCAAAAACATTAGATATTCGTATGAAAGTTGCAACTTTCATTTCTTCATGTTCATCAGGGTTATGTTCCTCGTATGATGAATAAGCCTGGCCTTATATTTAGACAGAACACATCTTACCGGATTTAAATCTAAAATGAGTACCTTCTGTATCTGTTTCTATTTTATCCTTGAGCGTGATTTGTTGCCTCATATGAAAATTTCTTCATATGATGATTAAGACAGGCTATATCTTTAGACAGAAAACATTTTACCAGATTTCACTCTAAGATTAATGGTTGTACTTGGGTATTTAATCTTTGAGCGTGCTGCCTTATATCATTAAACCTCGCTTTACTTTTAGACAAAATACATTTCATCGGATTATACTCTAGAAAAACTTGTGTATTTGTTATATTTGATCCTTGAGCGTGATCTGCTGCCTCGTGAGCTTGATGTGCGGCTTCATTTAAAAATTAGCCAGATTTTATCTTTAGATAGAACACATATTACTGGAATTAACTCAAGATTAATACCTTGTGTATCTGTTGTATTTGATCCTCGAGCGTGATGTGCGCGCGCGCCGCCCTGGTGGCCGCCTCCACGCTGGACGTGTGTCCGTCCCACGTGACGCGGTCATCGCGCCGTTTCTCCTCCTCGCCGATCTTCTTACCGATCGTCGTTTCCTCGTCGCCCACACCGAAGATATCGGTACGGCGCTCCGCAAGCTGTAGTATGAATAAATAATATGTATATGTACAAACATTACCGTTTCTTCAGTCAAAAACATTAATAAATTTATTTAATTTACACTCTTTATTGCACAAAAATTAGAAAATAATGAAAATATTAAATATACAAAAGGCGTTTTATCGCTTTTTCTTTCAGACTACCTTTGGGTGAATAAAGAAAGTAAAGATAAGAAAATATGTGCATTTTTATCACTTGTCCATTTATTAATTTTGTATTTTATTTAATGATGATAATAAAAGAACATGTCGGTTTCGAAGGACCAGTATTCTGTGTATCGTCCAATGTAACTGAGATATAAAAAGTATTCTTAAATTACTTATACTTTATTACATCCAAAAAATGTAATTATACTATCATTATATTTATTTAATAATTAGTGGTGATAATATTTTAAAATAAGTAAATAAATAAATTTAAATATATTTTAAAATATGTTACCTGTTTAAGAGAGGCTTCAATGGCGGCACCAGGTGCTAGAGCTTCATCCCTGTCGGTGCGCTCGGCGGCAGCTCTGTCGCGCTGTTCTAACCAGCGAGGATCCAGTAAACCGATACGGACGTGATCTGCCACTTTGTTCGCGGGAATTTTCTCTCCAGTGATGGGCGATACGAGCCATTCTTCGCTTGCGGGCGTCGGTTGAGGCCTAGCACGTTTCGGATCGTACTTCTTAACAACGACGCGGTCAGGACGAGGCGGCAACGGCGCTTCTTCGCCAACTTGCTTCGCAGGCGGCTCTGGAAGACCTTCATCCTCTGAAGATGAGCTGTCCTCTTCCATGTCTTGGACGCGGTTATCGTCCGGCCGCTGTTGTTGTTGTGTTCGATCCTCCATTTCGGCCAACTCATCATCTGACTCCGATTCGGATTCAGATTCCAGCTGCATCTCGGTGTCATCATCATCCTGACCGTGGCTGATATCCTCCCCGCGTTCCTGAGCCAGCACCCGAGCGCCGACTTCGAGTGGAGTGGTCGGTGGAGGGAAATCACCAGGTTCACCCGCTGGGTAATCAACTGTTTCGACAACCACAAAATCGTGCCAATCAATGGAAGCATAAGCGAGACGCTCTTTCTCAATTCTCGCTTCGTCCGCGACCTTACGTCGTGCTTGGTACGAGTGCCACGCGGCGCGACTGCGTGCCTGTTCCAACACACCACTTCTGACCTCGGCAGACAACTTGAATACGAGTTCTTTTGGCGGCAGTAAAACCTTCGTGTATTGCTCTAAAAGCCGCGTGAAATACTGGAAGAGGGAGTGCTGTGGGCGAAGAAAATCAAACTGATGGTTTCTTTCCTCCTTCTTCATCAAGTCTGTGAGGAACTGTCTGCCATTTCTCGCTACGAATTGCGCCGTCAACTTAACAATATCCAATTCAAGTGCAGAAATAGACGGGGGGTCGGCAATGAACTCGAAATCTGGCGGTGGATCGCGAGGTGGTGGAGGTTCAGCTGGAACAGCTGCCTTAAGGAGTTCCTGCTGGCGAGCAGCGGTGGCTGGCGCGAGACCAGGCCGTTGCAGAACAGGGACAATCGAAACTGCTGACACATCATTTCCTGTACGATAAAAAAAAAAAATGAAGTCATGCAGATCAATAAATGATTTAGGATGAAAGACAAAGGATATTTATTCAAATTTACATATCCTATAGACACAGACAATTGTGAAAAGTCAAATATTGACTGTCTGTTCAGAATGTAGCTTAAGCTGAGAAGAACTGACAATAAACTGCTCTCTTCAAGTGGGGTTTGTAAAGATATTGCCTAAATTTAGAGCTAATACATTTACCAGCATATTGAAATCAAAACAATCAGCAGTCATAATCCGAACAGACTAGTCTAAGCAGCACCATTCACAAATGTATTTTTTTATGGATGATATGGGTGACAAGATTCAAGTGTTTATGGTCAAATTGTAATTAAGATCAATAAAGAAATATATTAGATAAAGTACAATAAAAAATTAACCATACCTTTTCCTTCCCGGATCTCTTTGACTTTATGTTGATAATAAGCATGGTACGGATCACCCGAGTTCAGAAAGTTGAATTTAGGATTGCCGAGTTCATTCTGCCTAATACGTGCTTCAAATTCGGGACCGTTGCGAGCCACAAAACTTGCAGTTTTGTCAACAATGTCTGAGGAATGTAGTTAAAGAAACTATGTCATTTCACATTGTGTTCATAATTCTATGTAGTCATTTTTATATTAATTGAGGAACACAAAAATTAAAATCAAGAATACAATAATAAAATAAGAATTTATAAACTAATACAAAACAATGGGAATATTATGAGATTAACCTATATGTTAAATATATCAAATTGCCATGAGGCACTCTATACTGCGGCATATAATATAGTCAATAAATAAACATAGGAAAATCAAATTAATGAACAATTGTGCAAATAATAAAAATAAAAGTATTGTATAATAATAATACGAAAAATCAACATTTATAAAACACAAATTATTGAAAAGTGCAGAATAAAGGCTTCTTTATCTTTACAATATATTCATATTATATTATTCAGCTGAAACATACCTATTGTACACACTATGAGAAATATTTATTAAATTTAAGAGGTTATAGACACTAAATCCTACGATTAATGTATCAGTGTTAATAGACTGACGGTGTTCATATTTAAAATAAAACATTCAAATTATTCTGAAACTAATGCTACAAATGTTTGAATGCTTTTCGATTAAATACTTTTCATAGATGTATGCAAAATAGCTATAATAACAGAAACTTAAAAACAAAGGTATAAAAACAAGCATACCACAGAATATATATCAAATTAGTGTAAATTAATCAATATTAATACCGGTTAAAGGTATATTTTACGTGAAAAGGATACTCCTGACTTCTGGGGGTGGGTAAATAATGCCAATAACAGGTGGTGGAGGCGCTTGAGGTTCTTCAGGTGGACCTTCTTGTGGTTGCCCCGGAGGGCCCATTACATCTATCGAAGGCATTTTGGCCCTTTACTATATGTTTCAGGAAATTAGAAAGGCATTGACGATACAGAAAAGTATATACTATTTAAAATTACAATTACACGATGAAATTAAAATATCAATTCAATTCACTAAATCACAAATAAAATAGGCATAGGCCTACATTACACAGATAATACAAATCACAGATAAGACAGACATTTTCTCTATTATGGGTTCAACTTTTTTTTGTTGCCAAATATTCTCTGTAGAATCTGTATACAGATTGTAAATCGGGATGTCAAATTCTAAAAAATATTTTCTCTTCAAATTTCAATGTAATGCATAGAATTTGAACATAAATAACATCCAAAGCCGTGAAACAAAAAAAGATATCTTTGAGTAAATAATCACTACGTTGACAAAATAGATACGTTTTACTTAATAAAACAAAAAAATTAAAGGGCTTAAGCTAAACGTTAATTTTTATTTTCGATACAATGTTTCAATATGTATAAACAAACTTGGCACTATCTCCTTCATACATGAGCGGAGTATTGTTAGACCAATACAGCAAACTAGTCAGTGTTACAACTGACCGCATTCCGTAGTCGTAATACATGGTAATTATGATTGTTATCAAGTAAGTTATAAACCATAGAAGTAACGCCAAGACCATTAGCCAAACTGTAGTTTTCACGCGACCAGCATCTGGCGTCTCTCGCCGAAGTAGTCCCAATTCTTCAGAATGATTTGATCCAGTCTTAAATGCCATGCAATTAAAGGAATATTAAAGAATTATATAAATTGAAATAGAAAATTAAAATTGGCTTTAAGTTATCAAAAAATTATCAAAGTATTATTTATGTACAGGGCAAGGAGCATTTGTAGCAGCAAGAGCCCCACTGCGGGGTTACCTAACCTTCAGGCGAGTACCGCTGAAAACAATCACGGTTAATTCCTATTGTTTTTATATAATCAGAACACCAGGATGAGAATGAATAATAATAGTAATAATAACTACCGACGAAAATATACACAACGCCATCTAGTCCCAAGCAGAGTTAGTGTTATGGCTACTAAACAATTGACTACTTTTAATATTTTTTAATACATATATAATGTACATAAAAAAAACATCCAGCCCGATACTAATAATCATACTAATATATACAAATGTTTGCATAGTGCAAGGTATCGAACCCGCGACCATTGGAAGCAAGGCAGACTGCTAAACCGTTTGACAATCGAACCGAATCGGCTTTAGCTGTCACTTCACCAAACACTTCATATTTTACACGACACATTCATTGATCGAGTGCGCGCGATTTAGCGCGGGAAATTGGTATGTATATCTAAAAAATATATAAGTACCTATTATATCAGTAACATTTGTTCTGCTTACCTTTGGACTAAATGGCGCTGTGAATCGTTCAAATTATAATTATTAATAGCATCAATAATCGAGACCTAATCTAGAAAATATTGTGAAAATTGTAGACTTACATAAAACCCTTGTGCTGTTTCCTTCAGAACCGCAGCGTCTGTCATTATTAATTTATTAAATAATACTTATTATGAGAAGCGAATTAATATATTTATTTTTGACCGATTGAAACATTAATACTCATTTGTTGAAAGATTAACACTTTAAAATTTCTTAAAATAGTCGCAATTGAGTATCCATTACCGAAACATTTATGTTAATTGTAATGTCACAGTTACAGATTACTAAAAATAATGTAGAGATAAAAGAAAGATTCTAAGCTTTTTGAACCTGATTAGTTTATGGTCGAACCTCGCGGTTTTTAGAAGAATATTTATTATAGCTCAGGACAATTCACACAACGCCATCTAGTCCTAAGATAAACAGAACTTGTGTTATGGTTACTAGACAACTGACGTAAATACATAAAAGTTTATTTTTGTAAATACATACATGACATACAATGACAAAGAAAACACCCAGACCGATACAATTATAATCATGAATATAAATATTTGTACCGTGAGAGGAATCGAAACTGCCGTCCAATTATAACGGGGATCGAAATTACGACGGCCTGAGCCGAGGTTAGAACTCCTATGCTGTGGTACTCTCAGACTAAAGTCGTATCCGTCAAGCGGGAGATGGCCTTCAGCCGCTCCATAAATCCTTCCGCGGGATTGGAGCGTCATCTACACTCACCGCTCGATAGGGGGTGCGGAGAAGCCTCAGCTGGCCTTTATAGCTTAAAGGCCAGCTGAGGCAAACACTATTAGAGTAGTCCGAAACTAAAATCAGTGCAAATATTGGAACAATAAGGTGGAAGTAAAAACGCCTCGGCAAGAAGCGATTCAGGTATCTCCCCACCACTGCTCTAATATTTCGCTAGATTTTAGCGTAAATTTAGTCGTTTACCCCTTTCTCTGGTATTAATTTAGTTTATTATCGGCAGGTATATATTGTTGACCAAATTGTGACCACATTAAAGAATTAATTATATATTGTAATTATTGTTCATAGAGTACAACATATATAGCTATTATTTTGATCAGGTATAGGTAAATATCAATAAAACCCTTAAGGTATGGTCTAAATTTTATTATTTAAATAATTATACTTAATAAAAAAATGAGTAACAAAGATTATTATATTTAGACATAATTTTTGTTTAACGATGTCTACATAGACAAAACATTTTAAATAATTTAATAATATAAAATTGTTATGATAATTAGGTTAGGTTAAATATTTTAAACGGACTTAAAATATAACCCTTTTTATAAAATAATAATTAATTACTCTAGCAATATTAATAACAAAAATTAAACAACAGAAACTTAAACTTAGATAGGTACGTATTTAAAACTAAATACAAAATTTAGCATAGACAACTTTGTATTCAATTTATATTTTTTTATATAAAACTTTATATTCTGATTATTATTATTATACAATTTTTTTATATTCATCTCTAACATTTTAGAGATTGATTAAAAAATAATACATTATAATAATAATCAGTATGATATTTTTTTAATCTGAAAGAGAGCAAAACAAATTTTCTTTGAGGTTACTCAAAGCTGACCACCCGCTTACTAAAGCAGGTGAAGTATTCCGTCTAGTTTCTACTTAATTTAGTTAATCAGATATATTTTATTTATCTATAAAGATTTTGGCTATATAATATGCCAATACCCTAAAATTAAAAAAAAAGTTATAATAATAAAATCGAAATTAAAATAAACATAGAACCAGCCTATTGTACTTTGTTTAATTTATTATAGTTTTGGCATGCATTATGAACATATATAATTTATGAAGTTTATTTTTAAAATATTTTTATTAGGTACAAGTTACAACAATTTAAATAGGTCATTTCATGAAATTATTAGTCCAAGAGCTCGTAAACCCTATGAGTGACAGACATTTTAAGAGTAGCAGTGGTGGGGACCAGTATCGCTCCTAGATTTCTGTGTGTAGTGAAATTAGGGTGATTACACATGAACCGGCTCAGCTGATTTTACCTATCCTACAATTGCCCTAATTTTAGTGTCGTGTGGAAGCCAGTTCCACAGGCTATAGATTATAGTTATATGCATCACAGATATCGTTACCCACAGGTTTACGCGCTCTCAGTTTATGTACACCTAAGAATATATCCTACATAGTTTGTAACAGTATCGCACGCTTTATACTAAAATTACAACTCAAAAATTTTGGAAATGGACTCTAATTATATTATCTTAAAGTCGTTTTTCAAAAATTTGTTTTTTACATTGAATGCCATTTAGTTTTGAGTGAATGAAATTTATTCTTAAATATTATATAAACAATTAACTGAACAATTATAAAATTTGGAAATTAGACTTTAATAGTTTTAAATTAAAGTTGATTTTCATCACCTGCATTTAATACAGTTTAGTATTGAGCGTGCGATATTTATTCATTGTTCTTATATAAATATAGCAACATTTAGGTTTTGTGTGAAGAAACAGTTAGGAGGCGTTCAGTTGACTCCGTTGATGGCGAGGTCTTCCCGCTGGTCGTACGCGGACCGCGGTGGGATTTTTTCCCGCTCCTCGTTTCCCGCCAAAAATATGGCCAGGTGTTCCTAAAAAAACATTTTAAAACAAATTAAATCAAAACTCAATTATTCATTAAAAATACGGTTATTCACCATTTTAAATAGAATAAAATCAAAACTCATTTATTCCTTAAAAATATGGTTATAAACATTGGAAATCAAATCATTGATTCATTAAAAATAGGGTTATCGAACATTTTAAATGAAATCAAATTAAAGTTCATTTATTTCATTAAATTTGTGGGACATTTTAATCGTTTATGAACATTACAATCATTTTTTTATTTATAATATCCATTTTATTTGGATTTATAAATTCTTAGGCTGTTAGGACTGTTTTATATTGTTATAGTATGTTTATAACTTTGAATTCATTTTCAACCAAAATATGGTTTCAAGGTATGTTGTAGAAATTTTGTTTTCTGTTTTGTTAAAAATTTACGATGGAAAAAACATCTATTAAAAAAAACCTGGCCGCGATAGGTGTACGTACCAGGTAAGTCTTGGAGGTGGCCTGCAGGTGTTGGAGGAGCGCCCGCAGCCTGGTGCGCCAGCCGCGGACCTCCGCCAGCGCGGTCTCCACCGGCACACTCTGTTTGTACCACAAATGTTTATTTATTTCATAACTAGCTGTGCCCGCGTCAAACTTATAGCCCATATGTTATTCTGATATATAAGCTATATTACTGTAAAGTTTCATCGAAATCCGTTCAGTAGTATTTGCGTGAAAGTGTTAACATCCAACCATACTCAGAAACTTTCGCGTTTATAATATTGTAATAAGATAAGATATGTAGGTACATTTTAAAATAGCAAATAACTTGCCCGATTAATATTTACTAATATTATAAATACGAAAGTAATTTTGTCTGTCTGTCTGTCTGTCTGTCTGTCTGTCGCGCTTTGTTAGTATCACACACAGCATACCCTCATCAGTTGTTTGATGACCACAATGTGTATTTGATACATAATTTTGTTTGATATATGATAGCGTAGCGGCTTTTGTATTGATTGCCGCATGCATCCTTATGTAAAGTGCGAATACTGTAACTACCATATAGTAATTTTTGTAGCTGTGACGTGGTCGTGTGGAATGAGTAGTCATGCTCACTAAAATGTCCAGACATGTGGCGGCGTGGTGGGCCAGGTCAATGGGCTCCTTAAAATATGGTCGAGCGCAGTGATGGCTGGCTCATCCGTCATACTCGTGAAAAGAGTGCTGATTGTTTTGACTTGTATGCTCTTATCACTACGACTTATTTAATCTTATTGCATATTTATATTTGACCCAAAAAATTAGTGCTTGTTGGTAGTTTGTATTCACACGTTTCGACTTGTAAATGTAAACTTACAAGGATTATTTATTTAAAAGAGCAACACACAAGTTTCTTGTGATGAGACAGCTTTCCGAACGAGTGGTAGATAAAAAACAAATTGTTATGAATATTCAAAAGTGCTTAAATTAAGTTTATTTGAATAAATGATTTTCTATTCTATTCTATTCTAATTTGTAGGTACATTTAAAAATAGCAAATGACTTGCCTGGCTAATCGTTACTGATATAATAAACCGAAACTAACTTTGTCTCGCTTTCACGCCAAAACCACTGAGGGTTCGGCGAAGATGTAAAGGCCAGCTGCGGCCTGCATTAGAGTAGTCCGAAAAAAAACTTATATTATTTCGCAATATTAACATTTCAATTTATATTTAATATTTCACTAAAAATCAGTTCGCATTTAGTCATCAAGAACGCCACGCGTATTCATTTATCATTAATCAGTTTTAATAATAATAATAATAATCTCAGGACAATTCACACAGCGCCGTCTAGACCCAAGTTAAGCTATGGGTACTAGATAACTGATAGAAATACATAGATTTTTTTTTTGTATATACATACATATTATACATAGAAAACAACCAGACCGATACAAACAATCATACTCATGAATACAAATGTTTGTGCTGTGCGAGGAATCGAACCCGCGACCATCGGATGTAAAGCGGTGTGCTAGACCGCTATACCACCGAGGTCGTCTTAATAATTAATAGTATCATTTTTATTAATCTGAATCTTTTATAGTATCGGTACAGTAGTAACAGTACAGGTTGTCAATTCAATTCAAAATATTTTTAGTCACGTAGGTCTATTACAGACTTATAATATGTCAAATCTACCGTCAGTTCGGAATGATTTTGATATGAGAAGAACTGACAAGAAACTCTGCTCGTATTCTTTGTCCGATTATTTTAATATTCACAGCTATCTGGTCAGCCATTTTTCTTTTTAATATATGAACTGTGGTTACCTTGAGTAGAGCGTCGGCTGTTGCGGACAAGTGTTTGGTGATGACCGACAGTCCCTGACGTACGTTTCTGTTACAACAACACAAATACAAGTTAGATTGAGTGGTAGAATAAAAAATATGACTATTCAAAATTGTTTGTATTCAGTTTATTTGAATAAAGAACCTGCCGTGATCAGTCTGAATATAAAATCGATTCCATTTGTAGTACTGGTATTCAGTTTGTTTGAATAAAGAATATTTCTATTTCTAATTAATTTGATGTTCAAAATAACCTGTCGTGATAGTTCTGAATATAAAATCGATTTCATTTGTAGTACTGGTATTCAGTTTATTTGAATAAAGAATATTTCCATTTCTAATTAGTTCGTTATTCAAAATAACCTGTCGTGATAAGTCTGAATATAAAATAGTCTCTTTTGTCCAGTACTACAAATTCAGTTTATTTGAGTAAAGAGTATTTCTATTTCCATTTCTAATTGATTCGATGTTGAAAGTAACCTGTTGTGATCAGTCTGAATATAAAATAGTATCTTTTGTAGTACTGGTATTCAGTTTATTTGAGTAAAGAATATTCCTACTTCTAATTGGTTCGATGTTCAAAAGTTATGTTCGAAAGGTTATGTCGAGATCAGTCCGAATAAAAAATCGATTCCATCTGTAGTACTGGTGGCAATCGATTTTTACATGTTCTTTTGAAATTGTAATATATTATTACGAACCTGGGCAAATCAGTGTGAGTATAGTTGACGAGGTGAACCATTTTCCTAGCGGTTTCGCGCGCGAGCAGCACCATCAGCTCCTCGACAGTGGCTGGCCGCGCCTGGTTCTCCGGCTCCGGTTGGCTCAACGATGCGTACAGTTCTTTAGCCTTCTTCCACGCCAGTGCTGGATCCGTTGCAATCTTAAAATAAAAATATGAAATATTTAGTTCTTAAATATATATATTTCTTAGTATTTTAATTACCCTTAGTGGTACTTATTCCACAAATTAAGTGTTCACAAGAGGAAATTCCTGTGAGAAACAATAGAATCTATCTATCCACACTTACAAACTGCCGCGTACATTTTACGCTGTACCTGCGATTTCACCCGCGTAATATTTATAACCTATAAGTTGTTTTAATGTATAAGCTATATTACTGTAAAGTTTCATCAAAATCCGTTGAGCATACTCACAAACTTTCGCGTCTATAATATTAATAATAAGATAGTAAGGTACTTTAAGAAATAACTCACCAATTCAGCAACGTACACAAGCACGTGGATCTGCTCCTTGATGGCTTTGGCTTCGGCCAGCGCCTGCCTGGTGAGGCGGCGCTGCAGCTTCCTCCGTAGGCGGGCGCCGTGCTGCACGGCCTGCGCGGCCCTCGCGCGCCCCGACTCCCCCTCCGGGCCCTCCCCGTCCACCGAGGGGGCGCTCACTACGATCACCACTACAGTAAGACCGCAACACTAGCTAAGTGTGTCACTTGGATTATCATTACATAGTATAAAAAAAGTCGCTGTCGCTGTCTGTTCCTATGTATGTTTATATCTCTAAAACAACGCAACGGATTTAGAATTTTTTTAATAGATAGGGTTATTCTAGAGGAAGATTTATATATATATAATATATGTACACCCGGGCGCAGCTGGGGCGAGTAGCTAGTCATAAATAAATAAATCTATAATACAATAACATAAATCTATACATTTATGTAAGTGTATATATATACAGATTTAAATTAAATTAAGTACACAGATAGTCTAGACCCTGAAAAAGGAGAGCTACTTTTTAATGCGAAAAAGGGTGGTAAGGGGTTGAAAGGTTGCATGGAAATATTGTCATTTTTATTGTTAGAAGTTTGAAACGTATTGTTTAAGCTGTTGATTAAATATAAATAAATTCATTAAGGCGGACGATGTCGCGGGGACATCTAAACTTTATATATAAAAATTACGGGAAACGTTTGTTCACGATGGACTACTAAACTGATTGCCAATTTTATTTGCATATTGTGTACAATTTGATCCAAGTCGAAAGATAGGATAGCTTACATCTCAATTTATAGTCGCAATATTATTCTATTCAAAAACCTTAGGCGAATCAACGCGTGGCTGTGTCTGCTAGTTTTAATAAAAGTCTGTCTTATATTTCTGGAATTAAATACCTATAAAACATTTATAAATATGAGCAAATTCATTATCGGTGTTCCAAAATGTTTTCGCCGTTTTATCGAGTGACCAAGGTTCTTTGATCTTTTATATTTCCTGTTAGTGCAACTTAAAATAGACTGGTGATACAAATGAGTCATTTATATTGTGGAAAATAATTTGCTTCCTAATGTAGGTACCAGTATAAAGTCCGTAAGAGCTCGGTGGTCGAGCTGCATCGTGATAATACACCTAATTTGTCGTGTCTGGTCGTGATAAGCAGTTTAGAATCCTCTGTTATCGTGAACCCTATTAGAATGATTGACAAATGTGCATCCGCTTGCAATTAAATATGAACTTTATGTTCTCCTCCCAACGCATAATTTACTCTGACTTTATGGCTGCTCCGATAAAATTTATTAGACGTCTAAGCGGGCGCTAGAAATAGGTTCATGTTTCGAGATAAAGTCTTGTAACCTAACTTAAACTAGTTTCGTGTCTCGGCTTCACGCGTTGTCTTCATTTAAGACAACGCATCGCAAATATTGACGCTAGAAATCTCTCTCTAGAAATTATTAGGCAATTACAAATCATTTGGGGCTGATATTTAGGTATTAAATTTTTCATATCTTTCACATCATATACATTGTTCTCGTTACACCATTGATTAACTTTTGTCACAGATACTGACAGTAGATTTGACACATCATAAGAGTCTGTAATAGACCTATGTACATGAATAAAGATATTTTGAATTTTGAATTTTAGAGAAAATATCTCAAAATAGCCGAAACAATAAATCGCACGAATAGATCCGGCTCGAAGGACCAAAATATAACGAATCGATGTCTAAATGATGAAAACACGTAGATTTGGATAGCATAATTACGACGAAAAGTATTCGTATTTAGATGGGGACATAGGGCGATCGATGTGAACATCGCCCGCCCCGGTACTGCCTCGTCTTTCCTTAGTATTCACGGGGACTATATAATTTTTATTCGTCATTACTTCACGTCATAAATATTAATGCATAATATTACAAATGGGTAAGTATATATGTCTATTCGTTTTCAATACACCACTGAACAGATCTTTTTTAACTTAAATATATACTGTATTAGAAGCATATAGGTACCTAGTCAATATATCTAAAAAGAATCTGATGAATTCGCGGATAAAAACTGGGCTATAAATGATAAAAAGAATTGTTCAATTCCGGCAGAATAAAAAAACTAAGACATATTTTTATTATATATATATATATATATTTAGACCTATATATATATACATTGTCACGCAAATTTTTTATATATATAAATTATATATGTCAAATCAAATCAAATCCTCAATTAGTCGCTTATGAACGTAACTTTTTTTGTTAGTATTTTTTGCCTACAATTCAATTCAATTGAGAAGAACTGGCAATAAACTCAACTGAATTTCTTTTTTTTCTAAAGCCACTTTATTTATACATATACCTACGAGTAATAGGATATAGGTATCGCAAGTACATAGGTGGCTACCTATACATTTTGTTTGTGCGCTTCAAGTCACAGGTCAAGATGTCGGGGTGTCAAATCCTGTATCATTATCAAATTGAGTCATTGACTGTGATAAGCGAGACACGACGCTCCAATTACAAATCAAAACATGGATTTCCTACAACGGGAGTGCTTAACGCCCAGTGGTCTAGCGGTTTAACACACAGCTTTACTTCCGATGGTCGCGGGTTCAAACATTTGTATTGATGAGTTTGGAATCTTGAGCACTATTTTTAACGCAGTCGTCTTCCCGTCTCTGGCCATATGCCATACCATAATAATAAAAATAAGATGCAGTATTAATAATAATCTCAGGACAATTTACACAGCGCCATCTAGACCCAAGTTACGTTAGCTAAAGCTTGTGTTATGGGTACCAGATAACGGATACAAATACATAGATTTTTTTAGTAAATACATACATATTATACATAGAAAACACCCAGACCGGTACAAACAATAATAATCATGAATACAAATGTTTGCACCGTGCGAGGAATTGAACAGCGACCATGGGAAGTAAAACGGTGAGTTAAACCTCTAAGTTGAACTGTCCAGGTTATTATTTACGAGGCATTAGAATTTATTTTGGTATGTTTTGCTATGTAATTCTAGAAGTTATGTTGAGAATTATCGATCGATAACAGTGATTTGAATATTTCAATTATAAGTTAGATAAGATACAATGTACATTATCACTGTATTTAGATATTTAAAAATAGAGATTGCTACTGTTAATGTGAATAAGTATTAATACATGGCGTTTTTTATCGCATCCGTCAGACAGGAGTTGGTCTTCAGCCGCTCCATAAGTCCTTCCACAGGTTTGGAGTGCCATCTGCACTCGCCCCCTATCGTCCGGTGAAGCTGTAACGGCCAGCTGCGGCCAACAGCTTTAGAGTAGTCCTAAAGCCTCTTGAGCAGCGCGTTTCTTAGAATGATATCGGTAACTCCAGTATGTTTTTCTCATGATTTTGAGAAAAACATATTACGCCGAACCCAAATAAATGGGATAAGCGAGCAGATGATAATGAATGTGTACTGGTAAGTAGTCTATTGTAGTTTGGATGATAATAGAGAACAGTTCTCAAGCATTTAGCTAACTGCCGCTCACTGCTGGTACTAATTCGCAGATTAAATATATCTACTGTAAATACTTTTACAAAGTTTTATCCTTATATATTTTTCTTCTATATATCACACATACTTATAATTCATCAATTTAACTGATTCTTCATTTTAGATATTTAAATTCATTACCAATGCTATTTCTTTGTTTCTTTTTTTCAAGCTCCACTGAAAATCAGCGCTGTATTTACACGCTGCGGCACCAACTGAGTGGAAGCCTTTTCAGCATAGCGAAATATTAATTTTTAAGTTTTCTTTTTTGCTGTATAACTCTTTTTTATGCTGAATATTTATTATTATTATTATTATTACTGAGAAGCTGCACTAATATTAGATATGCGAATTTGTCTGTCTATCTGTCTAGTATCTTGTTCAAGAATAGATAATTATATACATATTTTGATACAACCTCCCTATATTCATGAATATATAGTCTATTAATTTTCTGTTCATGCGTTTTAAATAAACACTCACATTATTTCTGAGTAACCTATAAATATGGGTAATTAATGTTAATTTCCGACAGTGCTATAACCCTATTTAAAATTTGTAAATAGCTGGCAACGTATGTAATGTACAGTTTTTAAAAATTTAGCACTATCGGTATGACCATAGTTTGAGATAAATCCAGTAAAAAGTACTTACCATCAGACGCATCCTGATTGTCGGGTGGTAGATATTTGTCGACGTACTTGTCCGCGGTGGTAAGTGCGCGGTCGAGGGCGGTCGCCGTCACAGCAGTAACCCTGGAGTCCAGCACAGCTGTGCCTAGCTGCTTCACGGAGTCTGCGCGACGGAGCACGAAACGCCGGGTCTCGGAATATATCTAGCCAGGAAGACAAAACGTTATTGTAATGACAAACAACTACTCTAATGCTGTTGGCCGCAGCTGGCTTTTACAGCTTCACCGAACGATGTAGCAGACTTTACAGCGTGTGCAGATGAATAGAATAGAATAGAATAGAAAATCATTTATTTAAATAAACTTACACTGAAGCACTTTTGAATAGTCATTACATTTTTTTTTAATCTACCGCTCGTTCGGAAAGCTGTCTCATCACAAGAAGAACTAGCAAGGAAGACAAAACGTTAGTGTGTGTACAAACCACCAATTAGCACTAATTCAATTAAATACTCAAAAAGAAAAAATATTGACTACATAACCAACTGGTTAAACAATTAATAAGAGGAAATCAGTCATAATGATTGTTGGACCGCAGCGTTGTATGACGGATGAGCCAGCCATCACTGCGCTCGACCATATTTTAGGGAGCCCAATCACGCCGCGCCGACAAGTCTGGACATTTTGTAGCATGACTTAGACCACGTCAAAGCTACTCACAATTGCCATCTGATAGTTATAGTATTCACGCATAAGAATGCATGCGGATGGCGCTCATTTCTAAAATCAATCAATTAAATCAAGAAAGCAATGAGAAAATAAAATTATAACGTTGTATGCTAATAAACTAATTATTTACTTGATATATGGAGCGGCTGACTTATGGAAGGCCAACTCCCGTATGACGGATACGAATTTAGTCTGAGGGCTCCGCTAGGGGTTCGAACCTCGGCTCAGGCCATCGTAATTTCGATCCCGTTTGAATTGGACGGGGGATCGATCGGAGTTGAGGATAATAAAATGAGCATGAAGTCATGTCTGGTAGCCCATCTTGGCAAATGGCAATTTACCGCTAGGTTTCCAGGTGGAACCGCGTAGATATCAACTTCATATGGTACTCTGCTAGTAATCATTAATAATCGTTTTCCACCCGGACTAAGATGTTATGCCACCATGCTTAAAAAAATCACGCATCCCTCGTGAATGACTGGACCGACTCCGCTAATTCTTTTTTTGTTGGATTTATTACTGTCGGGAGAAGATTCATTTGGAAGAAAAAATTAAGATAGTTGCGCGGAACATTTATATCTAAATATATATAATTCAAAGGACTGACTGACAAGTGATCTATCAATGCACAGCCTAAACCGCTGAACGGATCGGGCTGAAATTTGGCATGCAGGTAGATGTTATGACGTAGGCTTCCGCTAAGAAATGATTTTGATTAATTCTACCCCCAAGGGGATAAAATAGGCGATGAATGTTTGTATGAAACTTTGTCAATTTTAAACCGATCGGGCTGAGACTTTGCATGCATAAAGCTACTATAAATAACGCGATAATATAAATTAACGTGAGCGAAGCCGCGGGCAAAAGCTAGTTTGTATATATATACATATATAAAATGTTTGTCCAATTTAAACAGCGTAGCACGTACATTTGTATTCAATAGTATGATTGTTTGTATCGGTCTAGGCGATTTATATGTATATTAAGTATGTAGAAAATAAATGTTTTTATATCAGATATCTAGTACTTAACACAAGCTCTGCTTAACTTGGACCTAGATGGTGGTGTGTGAATTGTAAAAAATTATGAAGATGTAGTTTAATTTCCTTTTTTTGCCGAGTTGATTATTTTTATATTATCTTGTTAGAAGTCTTAGACTACGTTATTTATTGCGTTGATATCTGATTATTGTTGATCTACATTGAACTAGTACAGAGCTATTCTAGAACAATCATGTAGTTGAGACTAAAGATTATCAGAACACGAAAATATGATTGACCTGTGAACTTACGATAGCTAATAACATGTAATAATTAGCCGCAACCACATATTAACGAAGTGTAGAGTCGAGATTAGTTTTTTAAAGCTCAGATGCGACCCCTTTATCGTTTTTTCAACCGACATTAAAAAAGTGGAGCTAAATCGACAGTATTTGTATATGTGTAAATCTTTTTTATGCATGAAGCGAATATGATAATTTATTTTTATATACATTTTGTTATAAAAACTGGACTTTTATTACGATGAAATGTTTGAGATTCTCATATTTAGACTCCGATAGTTTTAATTAGTAGTTTGTGTACTAACTAAAACTAATTTATTGGAGTTTAAATATGAGATACACAACAAATTGAGTAACTAAATAAGACTAAATCAGCCGTAGATAATAGAGCAGACCAATTCATACAAGCAGCACTTGTATAAATGAATAGAGTACATCAGCCATAGAGAATAGAGCAAGTCCCTCCAAGCAGCCGTTGTATGAGTAAAAGTACGCTTAATAAATACCTTACCTAATTAGGAACTATCTACCTATCTAATTATTAATATCTACCTACCTATTTATTAATTAGATTATATAAGAGACCATTTGCTCAAACTACCTATTAGTTACCTAAAATAATATAGTTTGTTAATACCAATTATAATTAATAGTAGATATCTAATATTATAGTGATACTTGTAGATACGGAAAGTTTTATTGTGCAATTATTCATTATTATTTTAGAATAGGTCATTATCATGAAATATATATATATAGGAATATCAGTCTAAATTATAATAATAATAGATGTTATTATTGTAAACGCAATGAATTTCCAATTACAACATTTTTTAAGAAATATAGTTTACACTTTAGTATAATTATATTATCTGTGGTATAACTAACTAATTTAGCTCATATCGTAAATATCAGAAAAACAGAAGAAGGGAAGAGAAAATGACAGAAATAATACTTACTAGTCCAGTAAAATTTTAAATTAAACATGTTGTGACCAGTTTTTTTTATAAAAATAAGTCCGTCATGTATTTGCGGATATTTTGATAATATTCAGAAATAAATTTTGATTTAAGTTGACGGGATGGGGGTGGTTTCTTACCGTTATCGAGTTATTTTGAAAGAATCGCGTTTTTCCACCGTTTTTTAATTTTTTCATCCCTTTCTCGTTAGCATAAATCAAAATTTCTTTCTAAATATTATTATTCACGTATTTGTGGACTTATTTCTGTATATTGCGCCAAAACTGGTCACATTATGTTTAATTAAAATTTTACTGGGCTATACGGTTAGGCCATTTATACATTGCGTCACACGTTTGTCACCTGTGTGACAAAGTGTGACATTGCAGCTGTACAATGCAACAGCAATGGGCGGGAGATTGGTACTGTTATGTAATATTACCTTATCTGTGGTACTTTTAAGTAATTGTACATACTGTCAACAAGAGTTTGTTAAAAAAATATTTCCTTTTGTAATAAATATATTGTAGTGTTTTTATTTTTAGTATTCGTCATACTTGAGAACGGTTGCTGCTTGTACTGGTCTGCTCCGATAACTATGACTGATTTATTTTGTCACTCAAGTAACTATTCATTATGAAATTGATTAAATAAAATATGAAACCAAATTCTTAATAATATAATTTATCATTCATCATCATTTATTTAAGAGGCCTTTCACATTTTTTGGCCTAAAAGCAGTGTCTTTGGGGTTCTGGTTCTAAGAAATTAAGAGTCGGATATACATTTTGATTCCTGAATTATATAGATAGATATCTAATCTTAAAAACAACATCTTTGAAATGTTAATTTTCTCTTTGTTAGTCTTCCTAATTTCTAAAATAGTTTATTCAAAAACGCTAAATGACAGAAGTTTGGGGTCGTCGTTCATTAATAAACAAACATAAATTGATATGATATCTTTACTAAAACTTGATAATTACTTTATAAATTGAGACAGCATCGTCCTTTTTTTCATTTTCAACTTAAATATCTAAAAAATTGATCATAATTAAACCCGAAATTTCAACAAAACTTTGCCATAATCATTTCTAATTTTCTCATAAATACAACGAAATTTTTGCATAAAAAAAACATAATAATAAAGTTAATATACTTGTAAATTAGAAATATGAAAAAAAAATATAAGTTTCTAAAAAAAAAATAAACAATAATAATAATTTAAA